AATTATTTTATTTATTTTTTTTCCTTTTTTTTTTTTTTTAAATTCAGATAGAGTGGGAGGGAGAGAGAGGAAGAGAGAGAGAGAGAGAAACATCAATGTGAAAGGGACACATCGAGTGGCTGCCGCCCGCACCAACCAACCAGGGCCGGGGACAAACTGCAACCGAAGTACATGCCCTTAGCGGGAACCGAACCCGGGTCTCTCTGGACCACAGGCCGATGCTCTAACCGCTGAGCAAAACCGGCCAGGACTAGACATAAAATTATTTTAGAAACAAATGAAATTCCTAGCCATATCCAAATTTCAGCATTTATTTCCTTGGTAAGAATCCCTGTTTGCAACTATAATCTGCCATGTCAGATTCATTCACTTATCTACTCAGAAGCTCTGGGGTATGGATTACTGTCGTTGAGAAACCTTTTCATTTTTAATTTATCTGCGCCCCACCCCCAACAAAGCCTCCATCATATTGTATTGTGCCACTTATAAGTATGTTCAAATCACACACACACACACACACACACACACACACACACATTTTGTTGTTGTTAATCCTCACTCCAGCATATTCTTCTATTGCACACACAATTTTTTAACATGGAGATTAATGGGGAAAGGAATTATACTTAATTTTATAATCATTATTAAGGTCAAAATTTAGTTAGATTAAATAACACCTTCAAATAATCAAGAGAACAAGGTGGTAAGGAAATTGTTATTTCAAGTACAATCCTGTACCTGATGTTGCTCATATTTCTATCAGGTCCTTAGGCACAGCAGTCCATGTTATACTCCATCTATTGGACCAGAGCCATCTCGACTGTTCTTGTAGACACTGCTTTAAAACACCCAATCAGACTGTAAAGTTCTGGTCAATTTCAAAGTCCTATCAATTTCTAATTGCGACTTGATATCCCTCGATTTAACAAAAACTTGAACCTTTTTTTCTCATAAAGAAATCTTGAAGGACAAAATGTACTAGATAATTAAAGAGAAGATTTTACAGGCTATGGACATAGGAAGAATTTCATTAATGAGGAATGTTTCCAAGGAAAGGAAGGAGCCTAGAAATCCACATGAGCAGGTAAACAAGAGTCATAGTCAGTGAGGAAGAGGAGTGAGTCTTATCTTGGAGATAAGAGAGCATGTGGTCACTTCGCAGAAAAGAAAAGGGTGTGGTGGTGGTGGGTGGATTTCTCTATTCTTGCTGCTCTCCAGGTACACAGGGGCCGAGTTCAAGTTCAACACTGTCTGTTGTTCTTCCGTTTCAGTCAACTGCTCACTTATACTTTTTGTTTCACAATGGGGCCAGGTGTGGAAGAGAGATTTCACAGTCGCTGAGAAAAATAATAATGGTTTTGTTTTCAATATATTGATACTTAATTTGTTGTAAGAAACATTGATCTACATTTTATTATTCATTAGGTCATTTGAAAGATGAGCTATAACTTTTAGTCCTAAAGTCAATACATTATAGAATTTATTTTCTACAAGAGTGCTTCAAAAGCTCCCTACAAGGTTGTGTAGTTGATCACTCCTTCCTTGCCTTAGCCAATTAAAAGTAGATAAAAGTTGGAAAGTCTTTAGCAACTTTTTAAAAAAATATTTTCCATTGTGAAGTGATAAGACTTTCTGAAGTTTGGCAGATGAGCCTGAGTCCTTTAAAAGTGACATACAGGTTCTGATCTTGCCAAGATGACTAGCTAACTGGATGAGGCATCTTAAGAAAGGAAGTGCTTGCACCCATTCATTTCTCTACTTTTCAGAGAACATTAATGCTGGTGTTTCAAGTGTTTTGCACTTTGAAGAAGTGTTATAAACATAAACCCACACATCAAATACATTTTTAGAGCAATCACACCATCCCCAATGTTTTGTGAATTAGGTTGTATCTTGAATGAGGTCATATTTAAGTTAAATGGTGAACCAGTGTGAAAGGAGGCTTGTTCCAGCCCAGTCCCCCTCCAAACACATTGTGGCACTACCAGTCTAGGGCACAGAAACACTGTGGGGTGTGCACCCCATCCCAGCCCTCCCTGTATCTGTGTACAGCGCCCTGCCAGAGGTGGAGGGCAGCTGTGGGCAAGGGCTTGGGTGGGGGAAGGGTACGGGAAAGGAAGAACAGATCCCATCCCACAGGCAGGAGGCAAACTGCAAGTGCCAAGTGCCAGGGCATGCTCTCTTGTTCCAGCAGACGTCACTTACAGAACAAAATCAAAATGGTGGGCCCTGTGTGACAGTGCACCCCGCTGGAAGGTTCACCCATCAGCTGTGGGGTGGGGGGATTCAGGCCATGATCAGTTCACCGGAGAGACTGGGTTCCCACCCCTGCTCGGGGAACAGCAGTGTTGGTCCAGTGGCTAGCAGAACTGAGCTATCTATGATTGTGAGAAAAAAATTACAGAAACAAAAATAACTATTTAATGACCCTTTGGAGTAAATTAGTTGGGGACTCGACAGTAATTTGCTTCTTGTCCTCTGGAAGAGCTTTTTTTTTTTTTTTTCCCCTCACCCGAGGATATTTTTCCATTTTTTTTTGTACAGATAGCGTGGGAGGGAGAGAGAGGAAGGGAGAGAGAGAGAAACATCGACGTGAAGGGACACATCGAGTGGCTGCCACGCGCACGACCAACCAGGGCCGGGGACAAACCGCAACCGAAGTACGTGCCCTTAGCGGGAACCGAACCCGAGTCTCTCCGGACCGCAGGCCGACGCTCTAACCACTGAGCCAAACTGGCCAGGGCTGGAAGAGCTTTTAAACTTAAGGACTAAAAGCAAAAGACAAAGAAAAAACAAAATACTTTAAACAGTACATTAGAAATGTCATAGATTCTAGAAGCTCCCTAGGCAAAATAATAGGCTATTCTCAGTCACAATGTCCCTCTTCCTCACTTTCTCTCCCTCTTCCTTTTCTTTAGACATGACAGGCACTCTATTTAGGTTTAAAGATGGAATGAGCATAACGGTTTTGTGTGCCATGCTAAGAAATCTGGATTATAATTAAATATTGCACAGAACACACTGAAAGACTAATTTTGCATCAGGGAAACTCCTATACAAGATATATGATTTCGCCCTGGCCAGTTTGGCTCAGCGGTTGGAGCGTCGGCCTGCGGTACAGAGAGACCCGGGTTCGGTTCCCGCTGAGGGCATGTACCTTGGTTGCAGTTTGTCCCCCTGCCCTGGTTGGTCGTGCGGGTGGCAGCCACTCGATGTGTCCCTTCACATCGATGTTTCTCTCTCTCTCTCTCCCTCCCTCTCTCTCCCTCCCACTCTATCTGAACAAAAAAATGGAAAAATGTCCTCGGGTGAGGATAAAAAAAAAAAAAGATATATGATTTCCCTTGTACTTGTTCTGTTAGACATCCTAGAGGCTTTTCTATGTGAGGCAAATGGTTTTTTGTGTTGACATTGGAACTTTACGGCAGACACAAAGTACTGCTTTCCCACATAAAAGACATATGTGAGACAGAATTCACCATTTTCTGAACCCCTGTAACACCAAGACGGTTATATATTATCTCGAGTAAAGGGGGGGGAGGGGAGGGAGAGAGGGAGAGAGAGAATGGAAGAGAGAGAGAGAAACATGGGTGTGAGAAAGACACATTGGTTGCCTCTGTATGTACCCCAACTGGGGCCAGTGATTTAACCTGCAACTTAGGTAGGTGCCCTTGATTGGGAATTGAACCCATGACCCTTTGGTGCATGGGTCGACACTCTAACCACGCAGCCACACTGGCCAGGGCTTGAGTAGACGTTTTGAAGTCAAAATAAAGAGCAAAGTATATTACCAATATATCATTTCAAGTAGATTAGAGGTGGTTTTATTTTATTTTTTGTAGTCTTTACTTAAAAGGCTAAATTTTTATGGTCTTTATTTACTGTTGACAGTATTACACATGTTCCCCATTTTAAAGGGCTACATTTGATGTGAACTCTGAGTTTCCCCGACTGGAATCTGACAGGAAGCTTGTGAGTTAATAATGGGAGGTAGAAAACAATGAAAAAGGACTAACAGTTGAGTGGTTTGGCTTCAATCTTGTTTGTGTTACTGCCTACCTGTGTGACCTTGTGCAGTTACTTACTCTTTGCTCACCCGGTTTCCCCAACTATACAATGGAGTTAAGCGCAGGATGTAGTGAGGATGAGGTGAGGGGTCGATGAAACACCTAGCTAGCATGGTGCCTGACAGATGGGAAGAATTCGGTTCAAGGCTTGCTATTGTCGTTAGTTCAGGACAAGTGCTAAACAAGGGTATATACTTTGTTCCCATCTGCTCTTGTGTCGCTGGATCATCAGAAACAGCCCTAGGCCTCAATGACCTTGACAGAGTGAAATGACTTCCTTTGGGTGGCTCTTCTGGGTGTCCACAGGGCAGAGACAGTACAGGCCGGAGAAGGGGTGTGTCACTGATACCCCTGCCCACTGCTTCGAGCCTCCCTTCCCAAATTAGAGCCAAGGGAGAGACTTAGGCCTCCATTACTTAAATAATTGCTTTTCTTCTTTGGTTGTATAGCTACAGTAACAAAGAATTTTCAGTATCGTTTTAAACCAGGCTTAATTCTCTCTCTGGGAGCAAAGTGACATAAATTTCAGTTGACTTAGTATAAAAAAGCACAGCTAGCATAGAAAGCCCCAAGGAAAGCGATGGAGAACCTGGACCACCAGCTCCCTAAACTCCCTTCCGCTCTCCGGGCCTCAGTTTCCCCACTCATTAAAGGAACAAGATGGACTAGAACGCATTCCCAAATCCAGAGCCTCATTCAGCCCTCAACTCAAAAAAAAGCAACCAATTTATTTCCTTTAACATCAAAGAAAGAAACCCGTGGGGTGAGTACCGAGCCCCTGGGGTGCGGGCGCCGGAAGCACCACCCCGCGGGCCCCGGAGGCCGGGAGCGGGAGCCGGCCCAGCCCCAGCGCGCCGCCCGGGAGCGTGTGCACGCCGCCCCGCCCCGCCCCGCCCCGCCCCGCCCGCGCGGCCACGCGCAACAGGCCACGCCGGTGAGTGGAGCGGTCCGGCCCGCAGTTCCGCGCTGCCGCAGGCGGGTCCGTGCTCCGGGGCGGGGGGGAAGGTGGGGGAGGTGGGGGGGCCGCGGGGCTCCGGGCGGCGGGGCCTGGGTCGGCGGGTGCCGGTCGGCGCGGGGCTGGGGGCTCCCTCCGACCTGCCGCGTGGCCCCGGGGACGGGCCGCGTGCACACGCCTGCCGCTTCCCGCCCGGAGTGGCTGGCGAACGGCCCGGGCACCGGGTAGCCCACGTGCTCGCGGGGGTCCGCACGCAGACCGGACGCTCCACGGAAAGTTGGAGGTTGGCAGGGAGGGGACGCGCCGGGCTGTGTGCGGCCGGGCCGCCGCGTGGGAAACCCGGCCTGGGGCGAGGGCGGCGCGTCTCCTTCGTCCACCCCGACTTTAACATCACCCTCCTTAATCAGCCTGCCCTTCCTAATCCTTCATTTGTCACCAATATTTCTAGAACAGCTGCCCTACAGTTGGGTTGTCCAACAGGTTAGTAAGACCAGGTTGTTGGCTGTTTTCCGGAAGTACAGTCCTGGGAGTCACCGGGTCTAATTACTCCACTAATTAGCTTCAGTTCGGCGCCAGGCCTTTGATTTCACTGGGCTCATGTTTAAGTTTAAGTGGAGGAACCTGCTACCATTGCTTGGATGGATTTTCTCTCTCTGGCCGCCTCCTTGGTAACGTCATGGTTCCTAACGTACATTAATGAGGTGTAGTCCATTTTTTTTTTTTCTAAAATTAAAGACAAAACTGCTAATCACAGCTTTAGGTAAACAACTAGTTTTCCCTCTCTGAATCAATAGACATTTCTGTGGGCCTAAGCAACCTTGTTACTGGCAGTATGTCCTTTATGACAGGTAGGGTGTGTGTATGTGTTTAATTGAGCTGTTTGACTACTATCCTCTGTGTTGGTGGATCTAAAATTTACCTAGAGAACATACTACATTGATGCAGGTTTCTGGGCCCAGCTACCAGAAGTGCTCATCCAGTAGGCTTGATGTGGGGCCCAGAAACGCATGTTCACAAGTGCCCTGTAAAATACTGCTCTGCTCTTTTGATTATAAAGACACACCTCCTTCCCCATGGGTAATAACCACTGATGGCTAAGATGCCTTTCAGCTCTGACAATACTGTTGAACACCCAAGGGCCAGCTGCTGTCAGAATAATTCCCACTGAACAAACCATTTGTTTCCTCCCAACTTTGGTTTCTGTAAGGCTTTTGAGATTTTTCTCTAAAATTATATACCAAAGATGAAAAGGAAAAAGTGTCAGCAAACTTTTTTTTTATTTTTTTATTTTTTTTCTTTATTGATTTTAGAGGGAGAGGGAGAGAGAGATAGAAACATCAATGAGAGAGAGCATTGATTGGCCGCCACCTGCATGCCCCCCACTGGAGACCTGGCCCACAACCTGGGCATGTGCCCTGACCGGAATCGAATCAGCGACCTCTTGGTGCATGGGTCGACGCTCAACCACTGAGCCACACCGGCCGGGCTAAAAGTCTCTTTTCTTTTCTTTTCTTTGTTTTGTACATGCCCCTAGCGGGAACCAAACCCGGGATTCTCTGGTCTGCAGGCCAATGCTTCAACCGCTGAGCCCAACAGGCCCAGGCAGCAAACATTTTTGAGGGACCTCCTTATGTACCACTCACTCTGCTAGATTCTGGGTGTGTGCAAATCTCTGTCCCTTCCCCCAAGAAGCTGTGTTTTGACTTCCTGTCAGTAATTTCGCATAGACAAGGTTAGAACACTTGACAATAGAAAGGTTCTGTTTGTATTTGTTGGCTGTAGAATGGGTCTCAATATTGATTTTCCTGTAGAGTTGTAATCCTTCAGAGTTGTTTAGTTAGTGGTTTTTTTGTTTGTTTTAATTTCTAAAATCTGGGCAGTTAGTAAAATATGAACCTTGAATCTTTTCTTTTGATTTAATCACTTTACATTTTAATGATTATAGTCAACTCAAATTGTACAATTGCTTTAAAAAACTTTTTCTAATTGACATATTGTATGTCAATTATATGTTAAATATGACAATAATTGACATATTTCAATTAGAAATATGTGCAGGCTGTACTTTTCTGGACAAAGCATTCTTTAGCTTAATTATCGTATTTCTTAGATTGTAAGATATTTTACTTTTTACTGTTTCTGAAATTATGATGCATCTTATAATTTTTTTGTTGATATTTTTTTTTTTAGAGGGAGGAAGGGGGAGAGAGATGGAAACATTGGTGTCAGAGAGAAACATTGATTGGCTGCCTTCTGCATGTCCCCCACTGGGGATTGAGCCCCAAATCCCGGGCATGTGTCCTGACAGGGAATCGAACTGGGACCTCTCAGTTCATGGGATGACGCTCAATCCACTGAGCCACACTGGCCGGGCAATATTTTGTACGTTTAGTGTGGTATGGAATGTCATCTCTTCTCCTCTCCACTTCTCAGAGCCTATTAAAAAGAATTATTTTACAATATGGATAGTGTGAGAATCGGAGAGATAGTATATTTTCCCAGTAACCTCTAAGCTAGGTTCCAGTGAACTGAGCCTCAAATCATTTCAGTATGAACATAGAGAAACATAAATGATGTCATGGCAGTATAAATAATGAAATGTATATTCTAACAAAAGTATTTGTTATATAGTGTTAGGGTTTGTTAGAGATCATAGATGGAAAAATGCTTTAAGTGATTATATTTTTGGCTTACTTATTCTGTACACTTTGTCTAACCAGGAGTGTGCTTGTACTGTATTCATATGTTATGCTTAAAAGCCTTTCAGCCCTCGCCAGTATGGCTCAGTTGGTTGGAGCCTTGTACATCAAATGGTGATGGGTTCGATTCCTGGTCAGGGCACATACCCAGGTTTTGGGTTCGTTCCCCGTTGGGCCCATGTGGGAGGCAACTGATTGATGCTTCTCTCTCACATCAGTGTTTATCTTTCTCTCTCCCTTCCTCTCCCTAAAAATTAATTAAAAAAAAAAAAAAAAGAAGAAGAAGAAAAGAAAAGCCTTTCAATTGCATTTTTCTGCTGCTGATATTCCTTTAATTTTAACCTGACCGATTGTGAGGGATAAGAGGATGTGTGGTTGAATATGAAACTACTTTTTCATCATAGGGTACTTTTAATGATACAAGCCTTTTGAGCCAGTTTAACTGTTTTCATTTTAATTTTTTTATTAATAATTTTGTTAAACTTCACCCAAGGATATTTTTTCCATTGATTTTTTTTTTTTTTTTGATCCTCAACCAAGGATACTTTTCCATTGATTTTTCAGATAGAGTAGGAGGGAGGGAGGGGGGGGGAGAGAGAGAGAGAGAGAGAGAGAGAGAGATGCATGTGAGAGAGACACATCAATTGGTTGCCTCCCGCGTGTGCCCTGAACCACACTGGCCAGGGCTAAGCACAGTGAGTCACTCTTAACATTTAAATGGTGGTATGGATGCTCCTGAAATCAAAGTTCCCTGATGTGAGCCATAAACTAACCTTTCATAGGATAGCAGTGCCCTTTACTAATCTGTTTTCTTATCTGGGTTCCAAGTACTAGCAGTACTTTGTCTCACTGAAGCCTTGATTCTTTCGTTGAGAAATCAAAATAGTCTGGAAAACTTAAAATGAATAGGAAACATTTTCAGCAAATTTTTGTCTCATTGATGACATATTGTAAAACACTAAAGTTAATTTTTTCCCTAAACTTAAGCTCTTACCCTTCCAATGCAGACTTTTAATGTCTATTTTTATTAGCTTTCCACCATCATCCTATTTTCCCACCAAAAGCACTTGATCTGAGCTATTTGTGGGTACAAAATTTAGAAGCTAAAATGAGGTCACTAGAGAGTTTGGTATTTTGAATTTTCTACTTTCTAATTTTAGTTCAGTTTACATTTGGGTTGCATTCCAAAGGTTTATTTATAAATTAGTTGTTGCAATATGTAACAAATTATTCCAGGGTTTACTCCTAGGTCAGACCACTTACTTAGTTCATATTGTAGCTGAGCTGCAGCTTGGTTATAATGACGAAGTAGCAGAAAACAGTGTTCTTGCAATTCTGATAGTCCAACAAGATGGGAAACTGTAACATCTATAAATAAGTTACTGGACTCTGGGAAAAACTGTTTTTTATCAGTGCAGGTTTTAACAACCTTTTTTAGGGGGACAGAGACTCCTTTAAGAATCTGGTGAAATCAGTAAATTCCACAACCCCCCCCCCCCCCCACTGCCTCCCAGAAAAAAAGTTCAAATAGAAATTTGCATTTTCAGGAAATACATCTAATATGAATGACTATTTTGAACCCCAAATGACGGACACTTGCATGATAAGTGTGACTATAGATGTGGTTTGGACAATTTTGTGAGGTTTGGTAGTGTTTGGGGGTGTTGCTCCCCTCACTACTGCAGTGTGGTCTGTGGACCAGCAACAGCTGCATTGCATGGGACCTTGTTAGAGATGCAGAATCTCAGTCTGACCTCCGATCTAATGCCCAGGTGATGTGTGTTGCACATTCAAGGTGGAGGAGTGTTATGGTAGAGGTCAATGATGTGGGGATTTAGTTATGTTTAACAGTTACAGCTTTTTAGAGATTTGGGATATACCTATTGTTATTCTTTTCAGCTTCTAATTATTATTAGTATTATTTTTTAAATGGGAGAGAGGTTTCCGATAAAGTAGCACTTTTTAGGAATAAGCTGAGATTTGGAAGTGAGGAGGTTCACGTGGTTGAGGAAGACTTGGGAGTGGGCGACTTCTTGCTCTGGCCACCGGCTAACACCACTGGCCCAGGACATGTTGGTTGCTGTCCTGAGCAGCAGTTGGGGGTGGTGCTGGGTGAGGAGCACCTGGCAGTGGGCAGCTATTGGTGGCTCCCAAGTCAAGTGTTTATAACCCAAAATACATCTCATTAGATTTGAGACCTGGTACTGATGGAAGCTAAATGAAAGGTTTTTGATTTCGCTGTGTTAATGGCCACAGGCTAAAACTGACTGGGAACCACTGAGATAGTTGAATCATTTAAGTTGGGATAATTATACTTCCTAATAAACAAGGAATTCCACAATGTGGTGCTTGTGTGCAAGGAAAACACACTTTCCTTTAGATGAATGTGTGAGCTAGTGTTTGAGGCTGAGTCACATTTGGGAAAAATGGGGTTGGGCTGAAGGCTCTGTGGCACTCTGGAGGAAAGGCCTTGACTACGGAGTCCCATGAGGGCCCCGGTCCTGTGGCTGTGTGCATGATCTGCGAACCCCAACACATGTTCTTTGTTCTTTTGTAGGTTTGCGTTTCCTCACAGCTTTGTCTCAAAGACTGAATGATGCCAAAGAAAGCCAAGCCTGCTGGGACTGGGAAGGAAGAGGGGCCTGTTCCCTGTAAACAGCTGAAAGTGGGGGCAGCTGGGGGGCCCTCCACTTTAAACTTCGATAGCCCCAGTAGTTTCTTTGAAAGTTTAATCTCACCCATCAAGGCAGAGACTTTTTTCAAAGAATTCTGGGAACAGAAGCCCCTTCTCATTCAGAGAGATGACCCTGCGCTGGCCACATATTACCAGTCCTTGTTCAAGCTATCAGATCTGAAGAGTCTGTGCAGCCGGGGTATGTACTATGGAAGAGACGTAAATGTCTGCCGCTGTGTCAATGGGAAGAAGAAGGTTTTAAATAAAGATGGCAAAGCTCACTTTCTTCAGCTGAGAAAAGATTTTGATCAGAAAAGGGCAACAATTCAGTTTCACCAACCTCAGAGATTTAAGGTAACAGGTTCTCCCCACTGTAGAATCCTTGTATGTTTCAAGTGTTAACATTTGGCCACAGATCAGCTCGGGATGAACCTGTGCTTTGATGTTGATTTGTCTCCTGCCAGCTTAAGAAGAGGTAGCACCTGTTTGGTCTTCAAGTGCGTCCCAAATTAGGAGATTCTGTGGTATCTTTTGGCTAATTGGTTAGAAGATGTCCATTCAGGGTGGACATGGTTGGGTATCATAGAGCTGCAAAAACTAAATTACATTGATAGTTTATAAAGTTTATTAAAGTGATATTATGCCTCCAGGAGCATGTTCTGTGGGCTGGTTTATGTTTTGGTATATAGTAGACATTTCTTTTTTTTTTTGTCCTTATAAATTTAAGGTTGTAAGGTAGCATCCAGGTGGTCATTTTCTTCTTCACGTTGCCTCCGTTTACTGCCTGCATCGACCTAAGTAGAGGCTTCAGAGCCATGACCAGGTCACATGCCAGATGTATGTTCAAGAAACAGATTTTACCCTTATGCACAGCAGCCCACCCATGTGCAGTGAAGGGCTGGGTCCTGCAACTTCCCCCGGGACTGCAGTCATGTGTGTAGGATAGCTTCGATTTGCAAGTGAGACTGGCTAGCTTTTTATTTATTTTTCTATATCAGTGATTGAAGTTTGAGAAATAATTTGCTTCCTCTGTGCTCAGTTTCTGCATTTATAAAAGGCAGACTCAGGATGAACTAATATCCTTTTTTTTTTTTTAATCCTCACCCCAGGATATTTTTTTGTTGCTTTTTAGATAGAGTGGAAGGGCAGGGGGTTGCAGGAGAGAGAAAGAAAAAGAGAAACCGATGTGAGAGAGACACATCTACTGGCTGCGAATTTCTGCACGACCCCCACTGGGGCTGGGATCAAACCTGCATCCCAGGTACGTGCCCCTGACCAGGAATTGAACCTGCGACCCTTTGGTCCACAGGCTGATGCTCGAACTGCTGTGCCAAACTGGCCAGGGCTACTTTTAAATATTTTATTTTAGAGAGAGGGAGAGAGAGAGAGAGAGAGAGAGAGAGAAAGAGAAAGATCGATTGGTTGTCTCTGGCCTGTGCCCTGACTGGGGATCAAACCTGCAATTTGGGTATGTGCGCTGACTGAGCATCAAACCACCACATTTTGGTGCACGGGACCATGCTCCAACCAACTGAGCCACATGGGCCAGGGTTGAGCCAATACACTTTTGTAGAGGTTTGAGATCTTTACGTGACAGGTGGTCCAGAACAATCAATGGCTGCTTGTGAGTTTTGGGTAGTCTCATTCCTATTCAGAAGTCCCCTCCTATGACCCATGGCTGAATCCAGGTGGCAGCATGGGAGAAGGAAGAGCGGTTCGTGAGGTTCCGTACCGAGGGGGGCAGAGTCTGGTTGTGTTGGTGGTTCCTGGGACTTGTCAGTTCCCAATAATGTTTCCTGCTTCTGAACTCAAGAGTCACCTTGTTAGATCCCCTTGTGCCGGTCTGGTGCATAATTGGGAAGATTCCCTTTCTTGTCAAAAGCAGTGGTTCTCAACTGTCCTAATGCTGCGACCCTTTAATACAGTTCCTCATGTTGTGGTGACCCCCAACCATAAAATTATTTTCGTTGCTGCTTCATAACTGTAATTTTGCTACTGTTATGAATCACCATCGGAAATATGTGTTTTCTGTTGGTCTTATATGACCCCTGTGAAAGGGTCGTTTTGACCCCCAAAGGGGTTGCGACCCACACACAGGTGAGATCCTTTCAAAGGATCCTGAGCCTACCTGTGTTCTAGATGAAGTTTAAGTACTCTCAGATTTTTCAGTACAAGTTATGATTCCAGATACTCCATCTCAATCATACCAAGTTGAAATGTCCCTGAAATGCCAACCTTTTGGCCTAAACACCCAAAAGGAATGTATAAGTCACTCGCCAACCGCGTCGAGTTGAATTAAGAAAATGTGGACACTGTGGGGCTTCTCTCTGAGCCAGTCTTTGACTCTTGACCTGGATAGAAGCAGCACTTCTATTTTTTATGTTATTATTTTCTTGAAACAACATTTTTATTAAAAGAGTGGGTTTTAGACACCTAAGAACTATGAACATAAAAGGTCAGCAATGTGGTCACAGACCAGTAGAAAGTTGCCATTTGTCCTGTGTGTGGTGTCCTCTGCGGCTGTCATTCTGTACTTTAGAGTCATCTTGGGCTCTTCCTGCTCATCATTAGGCCTTCCACATTCCTCCCCCCCAATTCCAGGTGGCCAAGAATGTGTTTTTTGTTTTTTTCCCTGTGGACTCAGCTCTTTGGCCCTGTTTATTGAAACAGGAAGGATGAGCTTTCTGTCTAACCTCAGCCCCCGCGCTGTTCAAGGGCACACCCAGTGTTGAGAGACCGGTAGTTGTAGGAGCTCGTGCTACCCCACTAGAGCTGGGTTTTCCAAATACAATGGAACCGTGCTTCTTGAACTGCAGTTCGTTAGAAAACCGAATCATTTCTTTTCCTGTTAGAAATAATGTAAATTGAATTAATCTGTTCCAGCCTCCCTAACGATTTTCTGTTTTAACCTTTCTTGTATACAGTACATGTTTGATGTACTGTTTAATCTGTAAACAAACACTTTAGAAACAAAAGGACATGAAATATAAATGAAAATTTAACAACAGGGAAATGAACTGTATAGTAAAAAATGAAAACCTGTATACACACTAGAACTCACCTTTCATGTTGAGAGCTTTTGATGACTGAATATGGAGAGGGGGGTGGAGGGATAGAGGGAGGTTACTGTTTGGAAGGGAGTCCCCTTTATGAAAATGTCAGGTAGCTGTTCTGGGGTTCTTTCTCTTGTTTCTTGGCTCCACTAGAACTTGCTTCAGGCTCACTGGGCCTCTGTCTCACTGAAAACCTATCCAACGATGTGTGTTTTTACATCTGCCTGAGGTGAAACTGCATTGTCATTGAACCTGTTTCTCGCACACTTTGCTACTTCTTTGTCAGGGTGATATTTCTCTATAAATATTTACAGCACAATATCCTCAGATGTTAACACAAGGTTTGGGGTACACTGACTCATACTCGTGCATTCTCCTTTGTGTGTTACCTGCGAGACATGCGACTGAACATACAGATATCAGCATGAAAAGGTTGTTGGTTTGCCAACCAGACATTTTTTCCCTGAACAACTTGGTCGAGAACCGAATTGTTCAAGATGCGAGAAGGTCGAGAACTGAGGTGTGACTGTATTTACACAATGAGGAGATTGAGTGCTGTGTGTGTGGGAACGGGCATGTTGGTATCAGGGTGGAAAAGGTCTAGAGGCAGGTCAGCGCGCGTTTACTGGGTGTTAGCTTATTCTCGTTAGTCTGGAAGTGTGCTAACCAGAGACCATAGTTGTGTCCCTCCTGCTTTGTGTAATTCATGTATTCACCATCTGGGTGAGTTTAGCAAACACTCACACAAGTGTTAATTTTTGAGTCTTCCAACAGACATTTGAAGTAGGGCAGTCAGTGTGGTCTCCATTTTACATGTGAAAAAACGAGTTCTCAGGTGGGACTTTTCCATAGCTACTCAGTAAGGACTTCTAACTCCAAATTTAAGGCATTTTCTTACTATAGTTTTAAAGATGTTAATTGAAAGGTAGGGCTTTTGTTGTTTGTTTTCGCCTCTCCAGGAATACGCAGGGGCAACTTGTCTGAGCCTTGGCATTCGCTTTTGATCCTTGTGGGTGGGGCAGTGGAGACAGGAGGTTGTACCCAGCCAGGAGAGTGGCTGCTACCTTCCCGTTTTTGTTGTTCTGGTGTCCTTCTTGGCACCTCCAGACAAGAGTTGGGAGTCATGAGTTAAAGGAGAAGACAGATTTCAGGAGCTTTGGTTGTGCTTTAGTTGGTGAAGCAGTAATACTTATGTACTGCTTTGCAATTTAAATAGGATTGGAGATAAGTTATTCTATGATGTTCCCCACAGTCTTAGGGTGGGAGTCTTCATTTTACAAATTAAGAAGCTGAAGTCACCTAGCTGGTAATTATAAGCTGGACTGAAATTGACTGACTCCATATCTCCTTGTAGTAGGTCACACTTAGCAGATGCAGAAGCTAAAGGTCCAGGGGAAAAGGGGAAATATTGTACAATTGATAAGGTTTCTGGTAATCTTTAAGAAGAGACAAACTCATTAATTATATACCGAGATGCTTGAGTTGGGAGCCATAAGTCACCCACATAGACCTGAGACACCTCTCAGGCCACTAGAAAAGAGGGAAGCCCTGGTTTTCAGTGGATTCAGTCACCATTTAAATGTAATTAGTCAGGTCCGGCTGCCCCCCCCCCCCCCATACATGACTCCCTTGGAGCTCTGATTCTTTGCAGCTGTTCAGATGCCATTAAATTATTCTTCCTGTGTTGGGTAGAACCCTTGAGTCCTGAGACCAATCAATACGGTAGTCCAGTGGTCTTTGTAAAGATGTCTTCCTTTTTCGTTCCATGGTAGGACTGATTCTCAAGCTGTGGCCAATGACTTACCCAGCAAATACTTTATATGTTTTAGTGTTTTCTATGTTTTGGTCACATTCATATGCTTGAAACATAACTCTTCAGTGTCCTTTGACTGTCTTTCCTTAAGTCCTTAGAGTGGCTGTATAGTTGTAGTTAGAGATACTGACTCCAGAACTTGGTTGCCTGGATTTGAATCCTGGCTCCATTATTTACTAGCTCTCTGTTCTCGCCTTGGTTTCTTCATCAGGAAACTGGAGATGATGATATAACCCACCATAGAGACAGGGTTGTTGGGAAGGTTGTATAATTAATATAGGTAAGCACTTAGAGACAGTGCCTGGCACATGGGAACTGCTGATGATGTCCACGTGGCCTACTTCCTCCCTCCCTCTTCACATCTGCCTTGTAGGAAGTGCTGATGATGTCCGCGTGGCCTACTTCCCACCTCCCTCTTCACATCTGCCTTATAGGAAGTGCTGATGATGTCTGCGTGGCCTACTTCCTCCCTCCCTCTTCACATCTGCCTTGTAGGAAGTGCTGATGATGTCCGCGTGGCCTACTTCCTCCCTCCCTCTTCACATCTGCCTTGTAGGAAGTGCTGATGATGTCCGCGTGGCCTACTTCCTCCCTCCCTCTTTACATCTGCCTTGTAGGAAGTGCTGATGATATCCATGTGGCCTACTTCCCACCTCCCTCTTCACATCTGCCTTATAGGAAGTGCTGATGATATCAATGGGCCTACTTCCTCCCTCCCTCTTCACATCTGCCTTATAGGAACTGCTGATGATGTCTGTGTGGCCTACTTCCTCCCTCCCTCTTCACATCTGCCTTATAGGAAGTGCTGATGATGTCCGCGTGGCCTACTTCCTCCCTCCCTCTTTACATCTGCCTTGTAGGAAGTGCTGATGATATCCATGTGGCCTACTTCCTCCCTCCCTCTTCACATCTGCCTTATAGGAACTGCTGATGATGTCTGTGTGACCTACTTCCTCCCTCCCTCTTCACATCTGCCTTATAGGAAGTGCTGATGATGTCCGCGTGGCCTACTTCCCACCTCCCTCTTCACATCTGCCTTATAGGAAGTGCTGATGATGTCCGCGTGGCCTACTTCCTCCCTCCCTCTTCACATCTGCCTTATAGGAAGTGCTGATGATGTCCGCGTGGCCTACTTCCTCCCTCCCTCTTCACATCTGCCTTGTAGGAAGTGCTGATGATATCCATGTGGCCTACTTCCCACCTCCCTCTTCACATCTGCCTTATAGGAAGTGCTGATGATATCCATGGGCCTACTTCCTCCCTCTTCACATCTGCCTTGTAGGAAGTGCTGATGATGTCCGCGTGGCCTACTTCCTCCCTCCCTCTTCACATCTGCCTTATAGGAAGTGCTGATGATGTCCATGTGGCCTACTTCCCACCTCCCTCTTCACATCTGCCTTATAGGAAGTGCTGATGATATCCATGTGGCCTACTTCCCACCTCCCTCTTCACATCTGCCTTATAGGAAGTGCTGATGATATCCATGGGCCTACTTCCTCCCTCCCTCTTCACATCTGCCTTGTAGGAAGTGCTGATGATATCCATGTGGCCTACTTCCTCCCTCCCTCTTCACATCTGCCTTATAGGAAGTGCTGATGATGTCCGCGTGGCCTACTTCCCACCTCCCTCTTCACATCTGCCTTGTAGGAAGTGCTGATGATGTCCGCGTGGCCTACTTCCCACCTCCCTCTTCACATCTGCCTTGTAGGAAGTGCTGATGATGTCCGTGTGGCCTACTTCCCACCTCCCTCTTCACATCTGCCTTGGGAAAGTCAGGTTTCTTTCTCTGTCCCAGGAATATATGGCCCCTCTCTAGGCCCCTCAGTCTGACTTATATTCTGAAGAGCAGATTAGTCCCCTTTCCTCCTCCTCTGTTATGCCCAGTCTCTAGGTTATCATTTCTTCTCCAATGCTTTAAATATCACTTTTGTACAGGGTATTTCCAAATGTAAGTCTTTGGTCCTTTTGCCAGAACTTCAGACTGAGATAGCAAGAAACTTGAAACACCTTTACATGGGGGTCCTAGCAGATTAAACTCCACATTCCTAATCTAGAACTCTTTTTTTCCTCTTCAAAAACTCATTCTCTAGCAAGTCTTTCCCATTTCAGTGAATGGAACTGGGAGCTAACTAACTATCCAAGTCAAAACCCCAGAAGTATCTTTTCACTCTTCCCATTCCTGTTCCTCTTTGTATGTAGTCCATCAGCAGGTCCTGTTGGTGCCATTTCCAAGTGCATCTCGACCTTTCTACTTCTTTCTCTCCCCGCTCACCACCCTGGCCACTCCTTGCCTGGGCTGCTGCCTTTGCTTCCCTTCCCATCTCTCTTGCTTTGGACAGCCCATTCTCCACACAATGGTCAGTGAGCTTTTAAAAATATAAATTGGATCATGTTATTTTCCTGCTTAAAATCCTGCCCAACTCCAGATCGCCCACCTTGCCAGTCTCCGTGATGTGCTCCAGTCTTCGGTGGCATTGGTACTAGAACAGAAGATTCCTGAGGGTGGAAGTGCTGGCTCTTTCACTGCATGTGAATTCTCAGTATCTGGAACTTAACTGCAGTCAAGACTTCACACACACATAAGAACATGTTCCACCTGTTAATGTAGTTTTCAACTCTCCCTCTTTTTTTCTTTCTTTGTTTTAAAGGATGAACTTTGGAGGATCCAGGAGAAGCTGGAATGCTACTTTGGCTCCTTGGTTGGCTCGAATGTGTACATAACCCCTGCCGGATCGCAGGGCCTGCCACCCCATTTTGATGATGTCGAGGTGAGAGGAAGGAGGTTGCCTGGCTTGGGGAAGGCGTTGCTGTGAGCCCGGGTTAGGGTAGGTGTCAGGGTTCAGTTCAGCTCTTGGGCCAGGTCTCTGTCCACTCTTCCTGTGCAGTCTCTGGAGATCTTGACCTCACCTAGATGTTGGGCCAGAACTACTCCCACCAAACTGGTTTCCTTCCTGCTCCTTCTCCACCGGGAGAGATTGTTTTCAACCTGACTGATGTGAAGAGCCACACATTCCTGTTGAGTTTATCTACAGAGAAGTGTGATTGGCTTTTTTTTAAATTACACAGCGCATGGTCTTTAATAAGGTGAAGTCACAAAGCAGTCCTTATATCTGCTTTCATTTGGTCCTTTTTCTGTAGCTGGCAAAAAAATACTTTTTTCCATTTGTGAAAATCTTGGGGCAGCTTGAATGAAGGCCGTGGTCTCACGTAAGCACTGGCACCTTGACAGCCTGATCGCACTCTCCTGTGGCTGCCAAACAACTTAGCTCTTTGGCTTAAGTATTTTGTAGTTTTATTTTTGTATCAGTACAAGGTGTGAACACAGTAATTAGTAAAAAGTCATTTTTTCTTCCTTTGAGAGCCAGTTGCTATCAATACATTTTCTAAAAGTTCTTGGTTCTTTTTAACAGAGGAGTATTAAAATATCTTTGGCCGAATGAAGAATAAAAACCTTGAAGCTCTCCTACCTGCTATAGACTAAACTCAGGATTTCAGATGTTCGGTCACACCCGAAGCTTGGCTTTTGCATCAGAGATTGTGGCTTCTAGCTGATAGAAGATTGAAAGGGACGAGAGTGGACATAGAGAACCCTGCGAATTTTCACGGAAGGGAAAGGATGGATATCCTAGTCTCAGGGTTCATATGACCTGTTTTTAAAAGTTAAAACCAGTAGTGGCACCTTTTAAGTGTGGAGTGAAATGTGTCTCTGATCTGTCATTTTTATTTCTTTATCTGAAACTTACAAGTCATCTGAGCCCTTGGAGGCCTCATACTCTAAAGCAGTGGTTCTCAGCCTTCCTGATGCCGCAACCCTTTAAATCAGTTCCTCATGTTGTGGTGACCCCCAACCATAAAATTTTGTTGCTACTTCATAATTGTAATTTTGCTACTATTATAAATCGCTGTCGGAAATATGTGTTTTCTGATGGTCTTCGGCGACCCCTGTGAAAGGATCGTTCGAGCCCCAAAGGGGTCGCGACCTCCAGGTTGAGAACTGCTGCAAAGCACTTTGCCTCGTGCGTTGTCAGGAAGCGCTCACGCTCTGGTCCTGTGACTGTCTGCAGGTTTTCATCCTGCAGCTGGAGGGGGAGAAGCACTGGCGCCTCTACCACCCCACCGTGCCCCTGGCGCGCGAGTACAGCGTGGAGGCGGAGGGCAGGATAGGGAGGCCGGCACACGAGTTCACGCTGAAGGTACGGGACTTCCCCTGTGGGCGCCGCTCCCCAGACCAGCCCAGGTCTCAGGGTTAGTGTTCGCGTCACGGTCTCCGTGGGGGTGTGTGCAAGCGTTTCGGGGCAGGGTGGCTCCTTCAGTCGGCTAGCATGTGCAGCTTTCCCAGGAGACCTGGTGACGTGTACTTGTAGAAGTGAGCCAAGGAAGTACTAAGTTTATTTTCCAAATAACCTGTCTCCAAACAATCCACGTTCAACAGGACTGGGTTTTGAGTTCATGTCCTCTGACTTCTCTCGAGTGAAAGTGGAAGGTGTGGTCTTGGCAGCTGTGCGGGGTCTAGGATAGCCGTCAGCACTGGGCCATAGGCCGCTGAGGCAGACAGAGCACAGCCAGGGAGGGGCCCCTTAGCTTTGTTGGTAAAATTCCAGAATATCTCATTTTCCTCCTGATTGTGCAGCTGACTCGCTCTGCACTCTCCTCCATTCCCCCTGTGTATAGTCACCAGAGGAATAGGAATTATGATAGCCCTTGGGGAGTCCTCCTCCAGGAAGCCAGGTGGCTTGATCATGTCCTGGCTCGTAGGCATCTTGCTGCTGAGAAAGTCTGCCTTTGAGCAGTTAGCCTGGGCAGGGTCATGGCCACCTGTCCCCAGCGGGTGACGTTGTTGAGAAAAAGTCTTAGAGGGATAAGAATGGTTTCGTAATTAAACTTTAAAAAAAATGTTTTTATTGATCTATTAGAGAGAGAGAGACACGTCAGTGTGAGAGAGAAACATCAATTGGCTGTCTCCTGCACACCGCCCCCCTGGGGATCGAGCCTGCAACGCGGCATGTGCCCTGACCGGGAATCAAACTGGGACCTCTCAGTCCGTGGGACAACGCTCAGTCTGCTGGGCCACACTGGCCAGGCCATAATTAAACTTTATACCTTTTCCTACAAAACAAATTTAACTGCTTTCAGTGTCAGTAAGATCATAATTAGTTCAGACCATTCCAAAGATTCTGCCTACCTGATATACTTGCATATGGTTATTTTTAATTTCTTTCTTGCATCTTGAAGTTATAGTTAGTGTCCAGTTCTTACTCAGTGCCTTCTGGCTCCTTCTTGATTTTAAAATCTTTGCCTGCCTACCAATAACTGGGGGAACAGTCTCCCTTGTTAGGATGGATGCCTATATTGTAGGAGATGTAAATAAACACAACAATGAAGGTAACTTTCACTTTTTATGCTCTTGGTCAGCAGTCAGCAAACTATGGCCCATGGGTCAAAATAGGGCCTGATGCCTGTTTTCATAAATAACGTTTATTGGAACACGGCCGCGCTCATTCCTCACGTACAGAGAATGTGTTCACATTACACCACAGGGTAAGCTGGTTGCCTTAGCGACCACGTGGTCCACAAATTACAAATATTTAGTATCTGACCCTTTACAGAAAGAGTTTGGCAATCCCTGGTCTTGGAGAAGCATGCTTATCTAGGATCTTTGTTTATTATTGAAGACTAAGCCATCTGTGGTCTCTGAGGCCGGGGCTAATTACCCAGACTGAGGGCTGGGCTTCACAGCAGGCTTCAGGGCTAGATGGGCGGGACTTGGAGGAGGGGGCGCACTGCTCAGTAGTCACACCCACCCTGATCACAGTTCATTAGGAGCCCTGGCTCTCCTGGAAGGAGAAAGACAGCGTCATGTACTCCTGGCTCTCCAGGTGTATGTCTGTGTATCTGTGAGTTTTTAATCAGGGGAAGCCTTTGAAGGAATCTCGTCTAAATGTCCAGTGTATGAAATAGAAAAGCTGAGTGGCCCTGGTGGGTGGCCTGGGGGTGCCGTGGACTCCTCCTCACCCCCTCCTCCCTACTCCAGTGGCAGCCAGTGTGGCACGTCTGCCAAAGTCAGGACCTCGGGGTGAGCTCGCTCTGTAATGGAAACTCCCCTGTGGCTTGGGAATCTGACAAACCTGAGTTTGAATCCATTGGCTGTCACTCAGGAGCTGTGTGTCCTCGGGCAAGTTATTTATTTAAATCTGTTTCCTTATGTAGGTTGTAAGGATTGAAAAATAATACTTTCATGCTTCCCTTACAGTGAAATTCCCTGTAAGTGATGAATATATGTCAATATAGTGCTGCTTATCACATGACCACAAATTAACTCAGTTACTTAAAACAACATAATAAATGTATCACCTTCTCCTTCTGCAGTTCAGAAGTCCAAAGGGGATTTCACTTGGCTGAAATCAAGGTATCAGCTGGTCTGCATTCCTCTGGGGGCTTCTGAGGGCCTGTCCTTTGTCTCCAAGGCCAGTAGCCTCATCCTTCTCATGCTGCCTCCTCTCTGGTTCTCACTTCCAGTACCTGCTTCCACTTCTGAGAATCCTTGTGATTACCTTGGGCCCACCTGCCTAATCCACAGTAATCTGCCTGTCGGCAGCCTTAATTCCATTTGCAACCATGGTTCACATTGGCATATAACTAAGTATCCCCAGGAGCCCGGGTTAGGAATAGACATCTTCCGGGACCCTGCCACAGTGCCCTTGGTTCCATCTCCTCTCCTCCTCTTGGGAGCCCCTCCCTGGTAGGCTTTCTTCCCGCCGTTCCTCCAGAGCCATGCTTCTCAAGTTTCCCGGTGACCTCCGTGCTGCCAAGGACAGTGGTCAACTCTGAGTCCCCATCTCAGTCTTCCTGTTGGCAGCATCGACACTGGGACTCTCGCCTTCTTCACTGGGTTCCAGGATGCACCTTCTCTTGGTTCGTTTTCCACATGACTGTTGCTGGTCATCCTCCTTTGCTGTTTGTCCTCAGTCTTCCCACCTCTGCAGGTTAGGGGCCAGAGCTCACTTCCTGGACCTCTTTGCTCGGTTCGTGGCCACCTCCAAGGTTTTAAATACCCTCCACACTGAGGTATCTTAAATACTGTGTTGTGTCTCTAGTCTGTGTCTCCAAACTCTAGACTCATATCCAGCTGCCTACATACTGTCTCCATTAGAAAGGTAAAAGTTATCTCAAGTTTAATATTCTGCAGATCAAAACCAAGTCCCACCCTGTCCACAGCCTCCTTGTCTCTGTAAACATGTCTCCATTTTTCTGCTTGTTTAGGACAAGCCCTTGGACATGGATTTATACAGAAGTCTCCTATCTGGTGTTCCCTTCACAGACTTTTCTGATGTCACCCCTGTAAGGATCCTTTTGCCCAGACCTCCAGTGACTTTCTGTTAAACCCAGAGTAAAAGCCAGACCCTTAAAAAGTCTGCAGGGCCCTGTAATAATAGGCCCCTTTGCTGCCTTCTCACCTCACCTCCCATCATTTCCACCTTTACTCACTACTCCGAGCCACACTGGCCTAATGTGCCGAGCACGTTCCAGTCTCAGGACCTTTGCACTTGCTTCCCCTGCTCCCCAAATCCTTTCTCCCCAAGTAGTCACTTGGTGGGCTCACTCATTTCCTAAAGTCTCTAATGACGTCTCTCTAGCAGAGCGAGTCTTCACTGACCATTCTGGTTAAAATAGCACCTCTTGCTCGAGGTGGGGACTGCGCCACCCTCCCCACTTCCCTCAGCATCATTGCCCTCCTCCTTCCTCTGCTTATTGTGTTTGCATTGCATTCACCTTGACATTATTTGCTACTTTTTTTTTAAATCCTCACCTGAGGATATTTTTCCATTCATCTTCAGACAGAGTGGGAGAGAGGGAGAAACATCGATGTAAGAGAGACACATCAAATGATTGCATCCCGCAAGACCCCAACCAGGGCCAGGGATTGAACCACAACTGAGGCATGTGCCCTTAACCGGAATTGAACCCGTGACTCTTTGGTCTAAGGACCGATGCTCTGACCGCTGAGCCAAACTGACCAGGGCTTATTTGCTACTTTTAAAGAAATCTTTCTTGCTCTACTGTTGTGTTTATGATATCTTTTTCCTTCTCAAACATTTGTCTGATCTTTGGAATGTACTACATGAGGGCAGGTCCTTGTGTTGCTCAGTGCTTAACATCGGGCCTGGCATGGTGGAGAGAGGGCAAATGTTCATCAGATGTTTGTGGGATGAATAAATAAATGAGTTAATGAAGTATGTGTGTGAGGGCCTCATTTAGTAGCTCTGATTATGAGGAAAGCATTATGTACTTGAACTACTGATTTCCCATCAGTGTGGTTCATGGCAAGCCACCAAGATAGTTTTTGAATATAGTTAATTGTATATTGTTTCTTGCTTTAAGTCCAGTCTTAACATTTACAAAAACAGTTTTTAAATCTGGTGTTTCCTGACCACTGAGCCCTACGATCCCGTGGTTGCAGAGACCCTGTCCTCCTCCAGTAGTTGCTGCAGAGTGAGGGTGGGATTGGGGAGGAGGTAGCTCAGGGCAGGAGTGATCTGGGGAGAATCTGTCTGCTGGCTTGGGGTGAGCCAGAACAGGGTGGAGGGGCTCACCTGCCCAAGGAGGTGCCTGCTCTTTAGTTCCGTCTAGTTTTTAGGTTCAGGTCGGGGCATATGGGGTTGCATCCTTTCATTCAAACATTTTTTGAGTCCGTTGTGTGTGCTGGGTGCTCTGGTAGCTTAGGTCCTGGAACTGTAAGACAGTCTGGAAGAGCTCACAAGCTCTCAGGGACTGATGGGTAAAGCAGTAATTATAACAGCCCACACCTGTCATTGCCATGAGAGCTTTGTGTGGTGTCTCCTTTAACCCTCAAGGAAATCCTGTGGGATTTGGCGCTGTTGCCTTCATTTTACAGATAAAGAAACTGAGGCTTCGGGAGGATAAGTAATTTGCTGTGTGACTCAGCTCCTACTCTCCAGCCCCAGTGAAGGGTGGAGAGGGAGGGAGCAGGCTTCCCAGGCCCGAGCACCACCTCCCTGACCCCTGGGTCTGGGTGGGGTAGTTTCAGGTATGTCTGGTCTCAGTTTGTGAATAAAGTGACCTCAGGCACCTACAGCCTCCCCAGGATGGGGTCACAGTGACAGCCTCACAGGCACAGGCCACTAAGCCAGCAGGGTCCTCCAGGAGCCCTGTCACTAAGGAGAGGTTTCTGGAGTGGAAAAGTGAAACTCAAAGCCTGTGTTTGTGTTCATGAAGCACAGAGGACAGAGAAGCTATCCTTACTGACTCCTTCCCCTTTCTCTTCCTCCTGGAGCCTGGTGATTTGCTGTACTTTCCCAGAGGGACCATTCATCAAGCGGACACACCTCCGGGGCTGGCCCACTCGACTCACCTGACCATCAGCACCTACCAGAACAGGTGAGCCCTCTGCTCCCACCTGGCTCAGGGCTTGTGCCTTCAGGAGGACTCGCAGCTGGCCACGACCCTCACACCTGTCCAAGCCCAGGGGTCAGGCTCCTGTGCTGTCTTCCTATTCTTTTGGTGTCCTATCCGGGCTTCCTTGTGGGAATGTCCTGAACTGACTATGATGCTGGGAGTTTTCCAAGTTAAGGCTCCCATAGTTTGGGAAGAAGGAACCATGACTGTAGGAATGGCTGTGTGTTAGTGATGTCAGGCGGGACTTACAGTGTGTGTGTGTGTGTGTGTGTGTGTGTGTCTGTATGACTCTTTAAAATATATTTTATTGTGGTAAAATATATACAGGGCTGGGAAAAAGTAGGTTTACAGTTGTGAGTACTCTATTGTGATAATAATAAAGCTATTATAATAATCCTAACCTGCAGGTCTTTTTCTATACAAACAACTGCAAACCTACTTTTGCCTACCCCTATATAGCATAGAATGTGCCATTTTAACTTTTCTTTTTAAATCCTCACCCAAGGACATGTTTTATTGATTTTAGAGAGGGAACAGTGGCGAGAGACGGGGAGGGAGGGAGGGAGAGAGAGAGAGAGACAGACAGACAGACAGACAGACAGACAGACATGGATGTGAGAGGATCTCGACTGGTTGCCTCCTGTGTGTGCCCTGACTGGGAATCGAACGGAAACCCGGGCCTGTGCACTGACGGGGAGTTAGACCCGCAAGCCGCCTGGCCAGGGCTACGTGTTCTGAGTGCACAGTTCGTGATACCAGTCACACTCGCACTGTTTGCCGCCGTCACCGCTGTCTGATTCCAGAACATTTTCATCACCCCAAACTCGAACCATTGAAGCCTCTGAGTCCCTGTTAAGGTTTCCACTTTGTGCAGTTCAAGAAATAAAGCAGGACAGGTAGTCTGGGCGAGTCAGCCCTAAAAGTACACGTGCTGAAGACCGTTCCAGTTAAAACCTTGTCCTGTTTCGACAAGTGCCTTGTCACAGGACAGGACCTGGGCTGTGGCACCTTGTGAAGGATTTCCTAATAGCAGCAGCCTTTCGAGTTCAAGTCCTGTTTAAACAACAGTCATTAGTTTACCCCGGCTGCAGGGGTGCAGGCTCCAGATCCTGGCTACAGGGGTGCAGGCCCCAGATCCCGGCTGCGGGGGTGCAGGCCCCAGACCCCGGCTGCAGGGGTGCAGGCCCCAGATCCCGGCTGCGGGGGTGCAGGCCCCAGATCCCGGCTGCGGGGGTGCAGGTGTTGCACTGAAGGGGCTCTGAGAGAATGTGCACCCGGAAGTGGGGGGTGGACAGAGGCTGTGACAAATCCCACCCCAGGTCTGCAGGGACCTGTGGGGCCGAGAGGAACGCACTAAGCAGAGCTGGGCAGCAGGGAAGGCTTCAGAAATGACCTGACACCCAAGCTGAGGGAGACAAATTAGAAGGTGAGTCAGAAGGTCAGAGGAGGAGAGGTCAGCCCAAGAGACAGCAAGTCTCCTACCTTCAAGACTGTAACTTGCACAACGAGTTTGTGAGCCTACCTCTGCTTCCGTGTCTGGCTTTTCAGTGTAAAATTAACCCTGTGTTTAAGAGACTGGAGGAACAGCTGGAGCCTGGCCTGAGCTGGGGCCATCCTTGCCCACACACCAGCAGAGGGCCAACACTGCTTTAGGCTTCCTCTGTGAAAAATGCCCTTGTTACTGTGTTCAGGTTCCTTGGGTAAGGAACGGGAAGTCACAGAGGCCACAGGAGCAGGGACACTTGAAGGAGAGTATAGGGACGGGAGCAGGGCAGGCCACAGGGAGGCTGGGCCAGAAGTTCATTCTGAATCCAAAGGATGGTGGGCCTTGGCAGTCGTGTAGTTTGACCCGTGGACATCCATGTGTCTTCTGGTGTCATGCCATTAACATTACTGGGCTACTTCCCTTTCCCAGATTCTCTCGTCTTTTTCATTTCTCTTATTGCCACCATCTGGTGTTTAGCCAATGGTTTCCTTCCTCAGCTTCTGTCTGCGCACAGTGTGCTCTCATCATAGGCCATCGTCACTTCTCCGCCTCCGTCTCACTGAGCCCATTGCTGTGCTTCTGCTGAGTGCTGACTCGCTGTTGCCCGTCCTGAGAATGGGGTCTGGCAGCCTGCCCCTGCCCCCTCCACCCCCTTTGGTCAGCTGGGGCTGGGGACGAGCTAAGTTATGGACGTCACTGTGGACGGCACCATGACCACTGTCCAGGCTGGTCTGGGGTCTGTCGGTGGTGCTGGTGCTGGAGCTAGAAGGGAAGTGTAACTCGGGGCCCCCGTGCCCTGAAGGTGTCCCTGTGCTCTGGGCCTGCTGCCCCTTCAGGCGCTGTGGCGGGGTGGGGGCCTGCTGGGTGGGACAGCAGCAGGTGATTTGGCTGTTTTACCAAAGTGAATTCCTTAAGAGTATGAGTCCCAAACTTTGGAAAGGCCCAAGATCCATTCTGACTCCTAGAAGAGCCCGGAGCTCTGTTGAACTGCAGTTACATCCCTCCGGGAGCTTTGCCCATGACTTCCTCCTGTGCCTGCAGAGGAGGAGCTTGCTTTGTGTTGCGGACCGAAGTTCTGTCAAGGGTGTGAGGTTGGGTGACAAGTCGCAAAGCGGGGGCAGCGGGTAGTAGCGGGGTCTTCCGTCCTCCCTTGTTACTTGGGCTTCCTGAGTGCGAAGCAAAGGCCGTGCTGTGAATTCCCAGTTTCCACACAGCCCTTTGAAATCCGCTGGTGACACCGAGGGAGATTTTAAACAGCTAAGAAATGTTTAAAGAGAGCAATCCCCTGAATGCGTTTCTCACTCTAGCATTTTTAGGGGTGAGCCAATGCTAACTGTCCCCGAGAAACAAAAGTAATTGGACACTGAATTGCCTCCCTAGGTGTCATTTTTGGCCACTGGCTCCTACCCCAGTAAAGCCATTGCTAGAGTTTAGCAAGTTGCGGGATCAGTTATTTTGAAATTGATGGATATTTTACTGAGGAAGAGTGCCGCTCTTTTAAGGGGCGAAGGAACATGGAACATGGAACCGCGGATAATCGCACAGCCTAGAGATCTTGCTGTTACCCTAAATGTATAGCTTTTGGAGTTTTTGCCCATAAAATTTATTTTTTATTTATAATGATTGAGTGTTCAAGTTTCCCTACAAAGTTCTCCTGGTAGACACTTGTTACAGTTAAACATTAAAAAAAAAAATTGGTCCCTTAAACTTTTTACTTTGTAACAGTACGTGTTTAACTCTGGTATCGTTAAGAGAAATCACGAATAAAGCCACGCTTCCCACCCGTAGCTTCGGAGAGTCTGGGCTGGAGAGGGAGAGAACAGGGCGAAGGGGCAGCACCTGGGTTATGCTGGGCAGGGGCTCGGCCTGCAATGGAAGCTTCCATTTGTAGCATCTGGCTTTACTAGTAACCAGTTTTTCTGTCTATTTTGTGTGTTCACTGTTTGGTGGTGGTGGTGTGTATTCAGTTCATGGGGAGACTTACTTTTGGACACCATTTCGGGGCTTGTGTTTGACGCCGCAAAGGAAGACGTGGAGTTCCGGGCCGGCATCCCCCGGCAGCTGCTCCTGGTAAGGAGTCAGGCAGGTGGGAGGCGTGGGACTCTGACCTGGGCCAGCTCCGCCGTGGCCAGCCTCCTAGGGACCCCAGGGCCCTTTTCACGAGGCACCTTCCCGTCTCCGGTGCTGACCCTGCTGAGCTGGGTGTTTGCCAGACGGAGTGCCGCAGTGACGTGGGACCCTGAGGACCTGTGGTGCTGTCCGCACGGTGGTGAGAACAGGCCCTGGGGGTGTCGGCTGGATCAGTGCTGCCTGCAGACGTGGCTGGCACTGTAAATCCAGCACGAGATTGCCAGCTGGGAGAGGCCCGGTGGAGGGCCAGGCCTCTGCTTCTCCAGCTTCCTGTCCGTCCTGGTTTCACGGGGGAAACGGCAACAGTGTGGCTGGATTTCAGATAAATTAGTGCTGAGCGGGGCAAAGGCTGCTTCCGCCGTCTGAAGCAGTCACCTTAGGATAGTGACTTGCCTTCGAAAGGCAAGAGCCAAGACTGTCCACTTCCAGGGATCCCTTTCCAGGTAAAATCCTGAAAGTGGACCTTTTTTTTTTGGAGGGGGCGGGGCAAACAATAGGCGGCTTAAGATGAACCATGGTTACAAGGAAATAGTGGGATGTTGTTCTCGGGGGCGCTGGTCTTGCTCAGCCCTCGCTCTCTGGGGTGCCACGGATCTGCGGACACCAGGGACCGCTCTGGAGACGGGGCCTAGGCAGTGAGTTCTGCTGGAATGGGCCAGGACTCCTCTGTTTCTAGCAGGTGGAAACCACAGGTGAGGCAGTAAGACGACTAAGTGGCTTTCTGAGGACACTTGCAGACCATCTGGAAGGCACCAACAAGCTGCTTTCATCAGACATGAAGAAGGATTTTGTTATGAACAGACTCCCACCTTACCATGTGGGAGACGGAGCAGCGCTCTCAACGCCAGGTGCAGCTTGCTGTTTCCCTCTGGTGGTGAGGGGTAATGGGGGGCCTCCCTCTGAGCACGTGGAAAGCAGAAGCATTCAGAGTGAACACAGAGCTGGGTGTTCCTCGTGTGTGTGGACGGACACCACGTGCTACACTTCCTGCACCCACCCCACATGATGGGGAGGAGAGCTCTGTTTCTGGTGAGAAACGTGTGTTCACATGTATTCTGGTATTCGTCATCTTCAGGATGTTTTAAGAACTTGAACACTGAGATAATCTCGTTGGAATAAACTCAGGGATGGGTAAAATGTTGCCATCAGCAGGTGAAACAGGAGAGTGCCGGTTATCACTGACCTTTCCCAAGTCCCAGGTGACTATTTTGCGACAGGTTTAGGCTGCAAATGAGATAACACGCTTCTAGGTGGATGGTGATTTTCATGTCCTGTAGCAGAGGCTAGCAACACCAACTGCTGTGGTCGGACAGTCAGGTTTATTGACTTGTTGAAGTGTAGACCAAACACACCATTGGGAGCCGTGGACATCTCAGTAACGGCTCGAGCGAGGCGATTTTCAGGAGGGTTTGAAGCAGGGCTTTGCTCTGGGTTGCGTGGTCAGGACATAGGGGATCCTGTGTCTGGGTCTTGCGGTACATCTTACCTAGTAGCAGCGGGACTAAAATGAGGCTGAAGTGATGACCAGTAAAGCAGTAGCGGTCTCAGGTGAGCCAGCAGAGGGGCTGTCTGAACACGTCTTGCCCGAGGCCCGATATGATTAGGCCTGTTTCTGTCTCGCTCCCTCGCGGTCACAGTGGCCTTGTGCACTATGCGGGCCTCGGTGGAGCTGACTGATGTCTGTGTTCAGCTGTGGGCCAGCCACGCTCAGGCTGCTTTCCTCGTCCTCAGTGGGGCTGGGGAGGGTCATTTTCACTAACTTTTACCAAAGCCTTGTTTATCACCAGTTGAGAACCACTGGAATAAGCAACCTCTAAAGTCCCTTCTAACACTGATTCTGTTTATATTTTTTTTATAGTTTAGGATTTTTTGTTGCATATATTCAAAATAGCAAATGTTTTACCAGCACATATTTTAATCTCTAACAGAATAGTTTTCTGAGTATCAGTTAATGGCTCAGAATATTTTTCTCAAGTTTCCCTTGTCTTAGCCATTGTCTTAGTCAATAAAACTATGATCTTTAAAGACTCTTTAAGGCTAGTCTGTCTGTACTGGCTGCTTTTTCACGAAGTCAAATCTGGTTTGGAAAAGTGTTTTTTTCCCCTGCAAATGTTACTAGGTGGCCTTTAAAGGACACTGTGCTTGACCTACACAGACTGAACAGTTTGCCAGAGTCACTAATTGGTGGCGTGGTCCGGGCTGAACTCGGGGATTCCTTCTGGAGTCCACGTGTGAATAAGAAGCAATAGGAGACACAGTGGAGGCGGAGTGTTCTGTGCAGAAGGGCAGGGGCCCATCTGTTTGTTTAATGTTCTCTTATGGCACGTCTGTCTTTACCATGAGAACGGCTCCGTAAAGATGTAAACTATGTTTTATCGGTATAAACATCTGGGTAAACAAATACCTGAGTTGGAGAGGGCCCTCCATGTTTGGATTCATTGCAGGTTGTTAGTAAATGTGTTCCTTAAACAGTTGCACCTGCAAACAAGTTGGATCCTGCTGGTTTCCACTTTTGAAAGCAGGCTGTCTCTGGATTCTCTAGGTGGACAGTTACCAAGGCTGGACAGCATCGTGAGGCTGCAGTTCAAAGACCACATCGTACTCACGGTGATGCCGGATCGGGGTGGATCTGTGAGTATCCGGAAAAGATGAGGTCTCCTCTTGGGGCATTTCCATCACAGGTCTCAGGTTACAGACTAACAGACGCCCCTGCCCTTCCCCTTGGGATCCATCTGCTTTCACAGCCCAGAGCCATTGCTTAGAGCTGATACTTCCCAAACCTCACTGTTCCAGGTTTTCCTGCCTGGTGGGCATTTGAGGGTACCCCCTCATCTCCCACAGAACCCTTGTCATTCCCCTCACGTAGCGGTTAATGTCTGGTCTTTGCCCCTGGTTAGATTTCCGGCCATACTGCTCAGACAGCTGTGGACCCTGTTCATGGGACTCCTCCTTGTCCTGTACGCCGTGCAGATCTGTCTTGACATGTGGTTTTGTTGATGTTCTTAAAAAAAATCTCTGTCTTGTAGAAAGATATTCTACTTTCCATAATCTGGCCCAGTAGTTCCCCAGACTGGCTGATTGTAAGGTCAGCTAGAAAAGTTTTAGATAAATTCCTGCCCTTGGTCTGGGACCTCTGCATTTATTGTTCCAGCTCCCTGTACAATCCTGAGGACCTTTGGGGACTGTCCCATGCCCTAGAGCTTCCTCCTCGGGAGGGTACCCCATGAATGATGATGGCAGGGTACAAGAGGGGCACCTACATGTCTCCATAACCAGACTGCTCCAGCCATCAGGGCCAGACCTGGAGAGGACATATATACAAAAACCTCAAAAGTACACACCTTCATTAAAACAAAATCCTAGTTATGCTGATAACCATTTTGGGGACATTCTGTGTCAGGCCAAGGTGACAGGGTGACTGAGGCTCTGAAAAAGTGGACAAGGGAGGTAAGGAGGTCGAGACCATGTGGGGGGCTGCTGTAATTGGAATGCAAGTTTGTATGGAGCACACAGCTGGTATTTCTTGAGAGGTAGTGTTTACTCCATGGTCTTCATAAATTGTCAATTTATAGATACCTAGGAATGTCAAATTTTGATGCAGAAGTGATTAAATGTAGACACTTGAGTGTTAAGCTGCTACGGAAACGGCTTTTTCATTAAATCAAGTTTCTGAAGCTACTGTAGCACGTGTGTTCTAACTCCACACTAGTGACGACTAATGAAAATGTACACAGATATATCACACTGTTCTGCCAAAAGGATTCTTACAGTAGTCAGTACATTTCACTAAAGCACTGAGGTTTTAAGATTTTTCTTGGAAAACTAGTAATGAGGTCCTCAACATTCTGTTGATTCAATGCTTTTTCTTTTTAAAGGATGAAACTCAAGAAAAGATGGTTTACATCTACCATTCCTTAAAGAACAGGAGACACACACACATGATGGGAAACGAGGAAACAGAGGTTTGTTCCAGCCTAAGTGAGTGGTTTATGGGCAGTGTACCATTTCATGACTGCAGTGGGCTAAACATTCCATACGCTCGGACACGTAGCTGCTGTAGGAAAGGTGTGAAGCATTCAAGTAGGCAGATTCTGTAAGTTATCCGATCCTAGTTTATGTGAAGAGTATCAGTGTGGGACGCTTATATGAAAGTGCCACCTCTGGGACAGAAGCAGCATTTGACCTGACTAGTCCATCCTTTTTCAGGCTCACGGACTTCGCTTTCCTTTATCTCATGTGGATGCACTGAAGCAAATTTGGAACAATTCAGCTATTTCTGTCAAGGACCTGAAACTTTCTACAGACGAGGAAAAGGAAAACCTGGCATTGTCCCTCTGGACAGAGTGTTTAGTCCAGGTGGTCTAGTATCTTACATACACACGTGAAAAGCAAAGATTCATGTGCTGGGAGGGTTATATACAACTTTGTATCTGCTAACATGAGACGAGGGGTTGTATGTACTAATAGGTACATAGAAAGAGACAAACCATACTTTTGACAAGTTTATTTAATCCAGTGTGGCAGAAAATGCACAACTACAATAAATGTATCATTTAAATTTAAAAGTTGTTACCTGGCTTTGCTCTTTGGAAGAAACGTCTTTAAAGAGCCTCATTGGCTCCAGAAAAATTTTAAACAATTAACATGAAAAATATTAATTTTCTTAGTGACAATATACATACCTTTTTGTATAAAGTTACCCCTATAAGTTTCATTAAATAACTGTCGCACTAATGAGAGGCACTAGGCTGTGGGCGCAGGGAGTTGCGCAGGTGCTGCTCGAGAGATGACAGGAGAGCCTGAGAGGAGGGAGCTCAGCAATATTTACATGGAAAGACCAATCTCTATAAAAAGTACTCAAAATAGTGGGTCTTTGAGTTTAAACAATTCACTGTTATTTTACATTCTAAAGTGCATATAGGTTGGTATTTTTAAAAATACCATTGGAGAAGTTAATCTGCGTGAAAATAGAACATCTTTCTGCTGGAAGCTGGGGATGAAGAGGGGACAGTTGTGTCAGTTTAAAACCAGCTCAGGAGGGAGGTGCTTGTGAGCTGTATCGTTAAAGGTGGTAATGATTACTTGAAACTAAGTCCAAGATGAGATCCTATCTGCTTCTGCTTAAATAAAAGCTATTTAAAATGGGAGTAGAAAGCTGTTTTCTATCTTTTCATAGAAAAATCAACTACACTTCTACTCAAAGTAAAATGGCATAGTCAAGTCTCAAATACTGCTTGGTTTTAATTTGAACATGTGAAACTTCCCTTTAGTTCAGGCAAATAAAAACTGGACTATCTTAATAAACCCTTCTTGAGGGCAGATCAGGCAAAATCCAGGGTGAGGGCTCAGCACTGCGATCGGAAACACTGGCTGGCGTTCCATGGCCCAGAGGGTGTCTCTGTTAACAGTGCGAGGATGGCTGCAGAACACTCCAGGACTGGAGCATGTTGCTAATAAAGCTGAGGTCCCTCCCTAGGGTCAGTGACAAGTACGAATACTTACGGTGATTCAGTTATAAAAGCCTCAATGGAAAACCTTTAAGGTTGAGCCAGTGTAGCAGCTTAACAGGAAGGTTTATTGAATATGTCTTCAAATATTGCTAGAAATTATTCGTCTTTTTGCAAAAGTATGACTTGTCCTACAGGAATTCATTTTCCTGTGTCTTTCACTCGTCCCCACATATGCTAGGACATTAATAACTCCTACAGGACAGCGCCACCTCCAGAGTCCTAAATAATGGTTACCCGCAACGAGAATCGTATTTGGAGAAAAGGAGAGAAAACAGACTTCAGTAAACTTGCTCACCCAAAACGGAGATCAAGTAGGACTAGAACCTCTCCCAGAAATTGTAATGTATTCTTCATAGGAACACTGAATAATTGGCAAGAATATTCTGAGCTTTCCCCGTGGTGAACAGCAATGGTCTTGTCTTGGAGCTTCAGAGAAACGCTCCTTCTCAGTGACCCAGGAGCGCGAGTGAGGACAGGCAGCTTCCTTTCCGCAGGAGGTGAGGGTGCTTCTCCTCCGCTCTTCCTAGAGATGCTGCCGACGCCCTCACAGTATCTCAATGTCCCATTTCTGTGTTTCTTCACCCTCCAGGGGCTTACTTACAATTACATGAGTCTTGTCATAATAATTTCCCCCTAAAATAGAAATTCCAAAAGGAAAGATTATTTGTTCACCCAGGTGCTTAATAGCTTCCACAAGCCTTTTGTTCAGCCTGCTATTGGGGTAGATTAATACGCCATTTACAAAGCGGTCTGAAATGGGAAACTGAGTGTAGATGGGCTGGGCTATTGTTCACCTCAAATAGGACCTTATAATGACTCACACTGAAAACTCAGAGGTGTAGCCGAGCATGGGCTGTGCGGCCCGACCATGTGAGTCTCGAGAACAAAGTGCTTTGAGAGCGCCGGCTGAATGCCAGGTGCTGTTTTTGTTTCGACACCAGCAGTGGCCATGACTAACCCAATTAAAGCAGCAGCCCTGAATAATACTGGCCCTGACCTTGCTGGACTAAAAACAAGTTTAAATGCCTACCATAAGTTAATAGCTAAGGGCTTTTAAGGACTATAGCAATCTATGGCAAAAAGTTGCTGGTTTGTAAGAAACATGTTATTTTATGGTTTGATGTTCAAATTTCAAATTGTTTGCAAAGATCCTAAGATGAACAAATAAAAACTTGACAACTGTACAAAAACCTTAGACGTTGTCCTTAGCTTGCCTCTGCTTGATCCACATAGCTAATTGTTTTGTTTGTTAAAACAGCATGTCTTAACTTCTTTAAAGCATAATTTAAAGTGACAATATTTCTCTTAGGAGGGGGAGAGCTTTAACCTAAAATGGTATCCATAAACCCCGCACATGGGGCTCATTGCTGGCCCACCTTTCACGTCGAGGACAAGCTGGTCGCTGAGATAGGAGCTGATGGTGCCGTTTCTGTTCAGCCTCCACTTCTGCCTGAACTGCCCGTGCTCCGTCCACAGGGCAACTCGAGCTCCGGGCACATCCCGGCCACCAATCACATCCAGACATGTGTCACTGGCCTAAAAGGGTTAAGAAATATATGGGCAGTACTGTGTTTGTTAAAATAAGTTGAACTGGGTCCCTTTTCCTTATCAAATTATAAGAGAAAGTTTAGAAAGTTACAGAGGTAGAGGTGAGCTAGCTGGGCTGCACAGGCTCAGGAAACAAATAACAGAAGCAAAAGAAGGGCCCTTGGCACTCAGGAGAGAGAAACAAAGGTAAGGAGCCGGGGGTGGGGAGGTGGAGTGGGGGAAGAAGGTGCTTCTGAGAGGGGGAGAGAGCTCCGGGTCCTTTTTCTTTCCTGTGAACAAATCATTTCATTAAGTGACTACGTCTTACCTAAAGAGAATGCTGTACATTAAAAAGTCGTCTTTATGGCCGAGGGGAGGGAAATCGTACTGAAATAGAGGTACTTGTTTTTAAAAGGATGCTTACATCTGACAACAGATGCTCATTCAAGGTTTGTTAAAGTGGAGTTAAAGGTTAATCCTTGTCAGTTTACATGTGTTATTAGGTCAAGCTTACTTTTCTTAATGCTTTTCATTTTTGTTGAAGCATGAGAAAAAGGTAGATAATCCATTGGTGAGACAACAAAACACACTTAGAACGTTTTAAAACCTTTCTGTTCTCCATAGCATCACTTCACAGAGAAACCTAACATTTTATTTTCTAGGCTTTCTCCAGTAACAGCTTCTTTCTTCTCTACATCACTGTACATTTTGAAAAGGAGATGATTCCACCATGTTTGGAATCAGAAACAGCCAGTCGTATCTGGGCCATAAATGAACGTCTCACCTGAAAAAGCACCTTGCCCAATCTGGGTCCAGTGACTGCTACCATGGTTTTAAAAAATCACTTAGGCTTATCCATAGTATGTGACAGCCTTAGATTTTACTTTAAAATAGCAACTGAGTTTTCTAGGTCAAAAAGTTCTCTAAGTCCAGTTTACTTCATTCATTAGTAATATAAATACCAGTATCTATATAATCACGGGACAAACTGTTTCTAGAACAGTGGCATTATTTTATCATGCCATTTGCTCTGGCAAGATTCTGGTTTCCAAAAGAAAAAGCCCAACCAAACAGCAGGGCCCGGTATCAGCGGGCTGGTTACCTTGGATTTGAAGAGTCCTCGGCAGTAGTACCAGACCTGAGTGTTCTTCCCGCTGTAGGGAGAGGTGCACACAGAGGTGGTCCGGGTGTCCGCTGCATTTCCAGTGACCGTCAGATACTCATTCCGGGCCCGGTTCTTTATCCTAATGTACACTGCAGGCTACGATGGGGAGAAACAGGCATTTAGGAAAAAATCTGGCCCTGGCCGGTTTGGCCCAGCGGTTGGAGCATCGGCCTGTGGACCAGAGTGTCCCGGGTTTGGTTCCCACTAGGGGCATGTACCAAAAAAAAAAAAAAAATCTGTTGAATCTGGAAATCAGTCCTTCCAGGCAAGGCTTGGAGGGGAAGTGAGAGGTGATGGAATATATGTATGTGTGTGTGTGTGTGTGTGTGTATTATATATATATATATATATATATATAATATATATATTCCACTCAGTCCCTTCAGCAAATATGTATAAACTAATATTTCTATTGACAAATCTGAAGACTACTGAGCATGAAGCTCCAACTGTACCATCTCTATTATGTTTCTGAAAGATGTCCTTTGGGAAGTCAAGGTAACCCTTTCATTCTCTGGAATCCCATGTGGCAAGTGTGGTGAACCATCAGGGACTGGACAGGTTTAGCTCAGTGACTGCTCTGCTCGCGCTGTGCTTGGGGAGGAGGGGGGGCCAGGCACTGCCTGCTGGGATCTGACGACAGCTTAGGACAACAGTCAGACACACCGTCCTGAGTATGACTACGTGCCAGCTGACTGCTCTGGGAGGTCTTAAAAGACCCAGGTAGCTGAGGACCGTAGAAGCTGTGGCAATCTCTTGGTTGACATATGTACTTTGTTGGCCTTTACACTTCTTCAAAGGAAGAGACCTTGCATATTTATTCACTACTTATTCAAAACTGGGTCACAAAGGACTTCATCCCCTGGACCTGAAATATACACAGAAAGTTTTACAATAAAATATTAAATCTAGGACTTGCCTCTAAGGATAATAGCTAATATCAAAAGCTTAGTATATGTCAGTGTACTAAATGCTTTAGTGTTATCTGGGCTACTGTGTTATCTGTCAGAATTAATAACCAGACAACCCTTTAAGAAAGTGCCGTTATGACCTGAATTTTATAAATAAGGTTAACACAGATGAGAAGCAGCAAGGTCTGTCTGCACCCAAACCCTCCCTTTTACCAGCATGCTCTAGCCTGTGCGGAAAAGCACACACTGCCCTCAGACACGGAGTAAGAGACCAGCTCCAGAAGCGCCAGTGTGAACTCGGAGCAGCGATGAACGGACGGCACTCTATGGGAGCCTCTAGTCTCCATGTGACCAAATACAGGACACACCCACCCTGGGTCAGGTGTGGCCTCTCAGTTAGGACCTTGCTAAATACTAACAAATGGTCTGTAATCTAATGGAGGACTTTCACTCTGAGACACGGAAGTGCTAGGTCAGTGTAGCAAGGAACCATGGCAGAACCAGCAATGACTGTTCTACTGTCCTGACATGATAGATCAACATGAGGCCGCTGGGATTTGGGTACACTGCTGCCATGTGTAGCCCTCCTACGGAAATAAACACTCTGAACACTTAAGCCAATGGACAGATCTTTATCTGGCCATTGAAAGCAAGTGAAAAGGACCTCTACTTGGCAAAATGTTTTACATGTTTCAAACCACAACTTCCGTATTCAGAATGCAACAGTAATATATTTAAATGTCTAGAATTCAGCATGGTCTCCCACTGCAATTATTAATTCTTGAGGCTTCAGTATATTTCTTATATGTGTAAGAAAACGGGCATGACCTTCACAGAGGACAGAGTCCCAATTACGTTAGGAACAAATATCAGTTTTAATCAACTCAAGCAAGGCACTAATTACCCTTATTACACACCTGTATTCTGACTCGTCGGTAATTATACTGTAAAACACTGATATGCATTGTAAGTACCTTGGTGACTTCTAATTCCCAACCTCAAAGAGAATCACACTGTAATTATTCCTTAATATCTAGACAAGAATATGAACTTGAGCAGCATCAATAGCCTTACCCAAAAGACTAAGACCTACAACACCATTTTAGAAACCCAGAATTCCTTTGCTGGGTTTCAAAGCTGTGACCTAAATGAACAACAGGAAAAACTATCCCTGTTAAAATATTATTTTGAAATTAAATGTTTAACCAGAATAGAAATCAGGTACTTCTTAAAGCACAGTGGAAGAAGACTAACACATGTTAATCGTCAAAAAACTTCTATGTAAAATCAGAGGCCACTATTCTAGCTATCTTTAGTTCTTAGGACCCTGAACAATGGACAGGGACATCCTTCCCCAGCAAGGAACCACCTTTCAGAAGTGAGGGAAACATTCTCGAGTTTCTAACAACATTAGGATTAAACATTATTGGGTGGTTGGTAAAAGCTACATGACAGTCCCACTTATGCCTTCTTTTTACCATGGCTTTTCAATGGGATTACTCATCATCCAACGTGCCAGGAGTGGGGAATAAGCAGGACGTGAAGGTCATGAAATCCTGTACCACACATTCTGCCAGGAAGGCCCACTGATACCCAGCATCTCAGAAGAGCATCTCAAATTCTCTCCAGGGATGCTGTGAATAATACTTTCAAAATAACTGTGTTACCATAGTAATACGAGCCAGATGCATGTCAAGCTCTTTACATGTATTATCTTATTTAATCCTCACAATGCTAGTGAGAGGGAAGCAACACGGTCACTGTACCAGTGAGGAATCTGAGGTGCCAAGAGATGAGGGGACATAACCAATCTGAAGTCACACTGCTTAAAGTGGCAGGGCTGGGATTTGAACCCACAGAACCAGCGTGGTGGGAATGAACATGGTAGGTGTGTGTGTGCGTGTGTGCACGCACACAGCAAGACCAATCAGGTTACTTTTTATTCGCTATCATCTACTTGACACTGAACATCAGAGCCTCCGCCCTTTGTCCATGTGCCACACAGAGCTCAGTGCCTGAAATGTGTGGTGCCGCTCTAAAAATGGATCCTATTTTGCAGGGAAGTGGGGTGTGGCTGCTGAAGAACACATTTTTAGAGCACAATTTGGTTCAAATCCGGTTCTGACACTTGGATGACTCTTGCCAATTTGCTTTACCTCTCTGAGCCTTACTCTTCCATCTAGAAAATGGGAATAACAACTCCTGCCTTAAAGATCTGTTGTTGGAATCAAGCAAGAAAGGGTTTCTAAAGGGTTAGAGAAAAGGACAAATGGCATATCCGCTGACCATCTGACCCGACAGCCTGGCCTGGATTTCCCACACACCCTGGACACTCCACCACTCCCACACATGCTCACACTGCCCTTCTGTGAACCAGGCTCTGCCTGCAGCTTTGTGATGATCACACACAGTTTTGCATTTTATGTTACTGTTGTGAACTGGATATTTTACGCCCCCAAAATGTAAGCTTTAATAATGCAGAAATCATGTCTGTCCTTAAACCTCCACAATTTTTTGCATAACATCACACATCCATTCATCCACTTTTACTTCCATCCCTTCATTAAATAAGTGGTCCCTGAGCTCCAGCCCCTGCATGGGGCCTGCAACAGAGAGAGCACCCACTCCGACCACAACTATATGGCTACAAACCGCATGCAGGGGCTTGTAGAAGAACAGGTCTTAGATTGGGAGAGAGGGTGAAAGAGGCATCCTTGAGGACCTGGCGCACAGCTGACTTCAGAGCAACGAGTAAGAAATACAAGGCAAAGAGCGAGGGAGAACCTTGCAGAACCTGGCATGGCCTGAGCTAAGAGCTGAGTGGGACAGCACTCTGTATGCTGGAGCATGGGATGAACCATGTGAGTGAGGAGAAGACCCGTGAGTGAGGCGGCTGGAGAAGCAGAGGGAGTCGGACCACACGGGCCCCACAAGGGTTTGGATCCTACCTCAGTGCAGTGGGAAGCTTCTGAACAGAAGACTGACCAGCAGTACTTACGCAGTAAATATGATTTTAATTAAACTGCCAGGATCCATCCTGAGTATTATATAAGTGGGGGGAAGAATTCAAATACTTAGAAAGTAAAACTAGCACAGTCTCAGAGTTCATCTTGTTCCTATTGCCTACCACAGAGCTGCTATAATGTGACTTTCCATCAGCCGGGAACATGGTCACCAAGACTTTGGACTGAAAGCTAAACACCAACATTGACCGTAGACAGAACTTTATGCTTTGGTTAAAATCTACAATATTTCCCATCCTAATCCACTCCCCCTGCTACGGAAATGGCAACAGAAATGAATTGGTCATTCTTTCGGATGCTGGGGTTTACGACTCTTCTCCCAGAAAACCGAGCTCTTGTGGGTGGCACACTTCTTTTCTCCTCACCTGCTTCACAGGACGGAGAGAACCAACTGTTTTCCATCCACTGAATGCTGTCCAATTTGGGATCTCATTGGGCTCGAGTAGGATTTGTCGTCCCAAGAAATTAGATCCTTCATAAGCTATCCACCTATATGAAAGAAGAGACAGTGAAGGACTTCCAAACCACAGGCAACCCCTGTATCACACCACAGAGGGTTCATTCTTCAACACCTAGCTTCGTGTGTGTGTGTGTTTATTGATACACACACACACACACACACACACACACACACACACACACACACACACACATATTTTTTCCAGAGAGGAAGGGGGAGAGAGAGAGAGGAAGATTGATGACAAACACTGGCTGCCTCCTGCACACCCCCTACCAGGGATCAAGCCTGCAACCCAGGCATGTGCCCTGACCAGGAATCAAACCAGTGACCTCTTGGTGCATGGGTTGATGCTCAACCACTGAACCACACCTGTTGGGTACTTTGTAGATACTTTTAAGGAAAAAGCATAATTTTATTTTTTTAACCGAAAAAGCAGGGATGACTAAGAAAAAGCCTGCTGGACTGGGGCTCAGAAGTTTTGGTTTCCAGTTAGGATTTAAAAAAAAAAATTCCAAACCAAGGTTCCCTCCAGCTCTAAGACTGTGTTCCTTTGAGAATACAAATCATTGTGCATAACATTTTAACTTTCAAAGACAGACCCCCACTATCAACAGCTAGTTTACTCGTAGGCTCCTCATCACAGGCCCTGCAGGGCCTCCCCAGCTCTCCATGTCCTCTGAGGACACTGACCATCATGCACAGAAACCCCATCCCACCCTTACTTTAAGGCCTGGCTCCTGCACGAATCCTCAACACCCTGGGGCCTCGACGCGGGCCAGGGGAAGCTGCAGCCTGGCAAGGGGCTGCCAGGTGTGTGCTGGAGTCGACATTCAGGGAACAGCCATTCCTTTATGGATTCACACTGGCTGTTTTTCCACAACAATGACCAGTTGAACATCTGTGACAGCGATGACTCACAGACTGAGAAGATCCCCTGGGCCTTCACAGACAAGGTCTGCCACGCCCTGCTTTAGGTGGCTATCAAGCTGGACAGCTAAAGAGAATAGGCCTGGATGGCCAAGAGAACCTGAAATTCTCAAGAGGTCAAGGTCACCTCAAACAGCACTTTCAAGAAGTACATGTGGAAGACAAGGGGGCTGCTTTGGTTGGTTCCCACTGAGTACCTGCTCCCCGAACTGAGATCAGGCTACATCACGGACGATGCCTCATGACCATGGAGAGGCTCATCCACATCTCCAGCTCTGCAGGTGCCTTAAAAAGGCAGGGACGTTTCAGTTACAAAACCCAGGCGAGACTTTAATAAACCACCTCACTGTATGCCAATCTGAATGCACTGCAGGCAAAAAGCTGTGAGAGACGGTGCACTAAAGCACGGCCCTCATCACTATCACCCATCAGAGATACGGAATAACATGGGATTCACCAAAACCAAACAGAGCCTGCCCGAGGGCAGCTGGCTGGATGAGCACCAGGTAGCCCTGTACCAGCCAGCTCTAGCCAGGGGGCCCTTCAGACAGCCTTCCTTACGCCTTACTCTAGCGCCAGTCTCTCAGAGCCTTGACAACAGTGACAGCAGGTGCACAACAAAAGAAATAAGCAAGCCAGGGTAAAATGGCACCAGCTTTCTACAAAAGAGTGAAGTGAGATGGTGCGCAGCCTTCAGAGATAAGTCAGTAAATACCAGTTCCACTCAGGAACGTAAAGAAAAGAAATGCATAAGAATGCTGTGAAATGTATAAAAACCCGGGGGCAGGGAATTCAGTTCAGCCTTAAATAACATACTGGAAAACAATATGAGGATTATTACACTTGGAGTAAATTAATTTACGGTTAATGAACACCAAACCATGTGAAGTGCTTTGCAGAAAAAAATGTAAACTGCTATTACATGTGAATAATACAAAAGTCATTCATTATAACAGTTGACAATTTTCACATCAATTTATATTCTTGGCTTTCTCTTTCATTATCCCCAGATAGTTAAACATGCAGAGTTGATTATCACACAATTTAAAAGTCATAACAAATAAAAACAGTCCTCTTCCGTATTAGTCACCGAGGGCTGTGTGTTCTTTTAGTGTGGACTCTCGGTCCCAGACACCAGCCGCACGGAGGAGGGCAGGTCAGGTGCTGCTCTTCAGAGGCCCGAGAGCAGACTTCTAGGGAGAAAGTGAGCCTTAGCTTCACAGCCCCCCATCTGCAAGGCCCCCCATCTGCAAGGCCCCCCATCTGCAAGGCACCCCCATCCGCAAGGCCCCCACCTGCAAGGACCCCCATCCACAAGGACCCCATCTGCAAGGCCCCCCCATCCGCAAGGCCCCCATCTGCAAGGCACCCATCTGCAAGGCCCCCCCCCATCCGCAAGGCCCCCATCTGCAAGGCACCCCCATCTGCAAGGTACCCCATCTTCAAGGCCCCCATCTGCAAGGACCCCCATCTGCAAGGACCCCCATCTGCAAGGCCCCCCCATCTGCAAGGCCCCCCATCTGCAAGGCCCCCCATCTGCAAGGCCCCCATCTGCAAGGCCCCCCCATCTGCAAGGCCCCCATCTGCAAGGCCCCCAACTGCAAGGCCCCCCCATCTGCAAGGCCCCCCATCTGCAAGGCCCCCCATCTGCAAGGCCCCCCCATCTGCAAGGACCCCCATCTGCAAGGACCCCCATCTGCAAGGACCCCCATCTGCAAGGACCCCATCTGCAAGGCCCCTTACCATTGTGTTCAAAGTAAATATGCACAGTTCACACCTAATTCATGTGTCCTTAATTTTTTTTTTTTTCTTTTCTTATGGTGGTCTCTCCAGACTGTAAAGAGCAGATCCCGGACAGCCAGGGTCCACACTGACTGACACCACCTGAATGAGCAGCAACGCTAGCAGACAGGCTGTCAAATGAGGGTCCTCACAGCTCAGAAATAAGTGCCTGGAGCAAACAGCTCTAGAGCACAAGATGTCAAATCAAACCATGCAAAACACTATTAGTCTTACAAATACTTGCTTGTCTTAAGCAGCCAATGGTCTCAACCCAAGCTGCTTATTTAATAAAATTTTTTCTGAAAGGAAAGTGGGCCAATGGTTTGGTCGTCTGGTCGACCTGCTCTGAGACATGCTCTGAACACAAGGCAGCCCTTCTCTCCCAATGGGCTCTTTCCCCAGGAGGCACGGTCCAGTCTTCTCTTATTTGAACAGAAACTATTATTAGTATATTGAGAAAGAAAAGGAGTAAGATTACCATCATATCAAAAACCAACAGCAGGGGGGGAATGAAGAGCAACTTTGCGACTGTCCTAAAACAGTGGCTGAGCCAGGCTGATCCTCTCCCCCGAACTTACAGTCCACTTTTTATCCATACAGACTGGGTGTAGAAGTGCAGGTCCTTGTTCAGAACGGAGTTCACAGCCTCTTCCAGATGTAACTCTCTTCCCTCACAGTGCTCCAGGGCAAAAAGGCTGATGGAGGGCTCTTCAAAGACCTGGCGGCAGGAGGAAGAGGAAGTGTCAGCAGGGGGTCCGCCACATCCCAGGTAGTGTGGGGCCCTGGCTCCACCTATTCTCCAATACATCGAGCTCTTCGCTCTACCCTCTGAATATGTTATAGTCAGAAATGCACCAGTGAGATTTGGTTCCATTAATTTTTATTCACTTCTTAAAAATTAAAATAGAAGTTTCAGGGAAAAACGGGTGGCATGCTCATTTCCCAGAAGGCCACATGAGCAGCCACCGAGAGTGCAGACTGTATGGCTCTAGGCCCTTAGAAACATTCCTAGGAAGGAGAAGAAGGCATTAAAAAAAAAAAAAAAAGTGTCATCAATGTTTTACAGAGAGATAGAAACATCAATGTGACAGAGAAACATAGATTGGCTGCCTCCTGCACGCCCCCTACTAGGGATTGAGCCTGCATGTGCCCTGACCAGGAATCGAACTGGGACCTCTCAGTCCATGGGACGGCACTCCATCCACTGAGCCACACCAGCCGGGCAAAAGAAGGCATTTTTAATTTAACAATAACAAGCCAGAATGCACAGGGACGGGGTGATTTAGTATTCCCCTAAACCCTTCATATTAGACAAGAACAGAATCAATATTACTCTTTTTCACTCCTCAGTATACGCAAGACACCATGCCAGGAGACTTTTGAAGGGTGAGAAATCAAATTAATTATGATCTCTTTCATGGTAGATATTTAAAGTCTCTTGTGAGCCAAACATCGTTTTCTCTATCTTCTGTGTGGAGTATATTCAATATTCATTTGTTAAGGCAGATTAACTCTTGTTTTTCAAATTTTTGAAACCTTAGGACAAGTCCTGGTGAGGATGTGGAGAAAAGGGAACCCTGTACACTGTTGGGGGAATATAAATTAGTGTAACCACTAAGGGGAAAGTCTGGAGATTCCTCAAAACTTTAAAAACAGAGCTGCCATATGATTCAGTAATTCCACTTCCGGGTATTTACCTGATGAAAACAAAACCACTAACTGGAAAAGACATCGGCACCACTATGTTCACTGCTGCATTCCTAGTAATAGCCAAGATATGGAAGCCACCAGGATGTCCATCGTTAGATGAATGGATCAAGGAAATGTGATACACAGAAATAGTTTTCAGCAAAAGAAAGTAATGAAACTTGCCATTTGCGACAATATGGATGGACCTAGAGGGTATTATGCCAAGAGAAATAAGTCAGACAGAGAACAAATACCATATGATCCACTTATATGTGGAATATAAATAAAATAAAGGAACAAAAAAAAGAGAAACAGACTCACAGATATAGAGAACAAGCTGATGTCTGCCCAAGAGGGGTGGTGGGGGCATGACTAAAAATAAACAGGAAATTAAGTAAAAAAAAGTGAAATATAAGCTAACAGGCCCGCTCCACACACGGGCGGTGGCTCACGGCAGGAAGCCGCTGAGGAAGGTGCTCGGCGGGCGGGCTGACTCGGACAGCACTCTCAGCACGCCTTGTTGGAACAGGGGCACCTGTGAACGAGGGACCAGCCCTGCCCAGGAGCCCCCAGTCAGAGACCTACCTCTGGGGAAAATTTTTTTGATGAAGAGAAATAAAAGAGTTTGACCTGAGGTGATGAGGAAACATAAAAGCAGACACAGAAGAAATCACATCCAGGCACCAGGCTGTGTCCAAGGCATTCCTAACTAGTAGCTATGTCAGGACAACTGCAGGTGCTGCGACCTGGTCCAGGCAGGAGAGGACACGCCCCGTGCGAGTCCTCAGTGGAGGCTGGATTCGAGCAGGAAGGAGCAGGAATCGAGGACGTTTCCTGGATGTGGTGGCGTGTGAGCCTGTCGAGAGGCTGCAATGGATGTGGAGAGGCCAGGAGAGCGCAGAGGGAAGGCACCCTGTGTAAGGAAGGGAGACTGAAGTGCCATAGGACACAGTGTCACGTGCTCCCAGTTCGCTCCTGTCCACTGAGCTGCCTGCTTCTCCTCCAACGCTGACAGGGCAGAGGCCAGCTTACTGCTGCAGGACTGGGGACTTGGACTGGGCTGAGTATGTGACCCGGTACACGAGGAGCACAGCCCCCGCAGCAGGCACTGTGGAAGGTCAGTGAACGGTCAGCAAACAAAGAACTGACGCACAACTGACCTGCACATATACTTGCACAAGAGCAAAATGAATTATGAAAGCGTTCTTCCTCGCAAACGTGTTAGGAACAACAAAGGATCGTGAAGGAGTTCCACGTCCATCAAGAGGGACTGCTTACATAAATACGGTACACTCACTGGGGAATTCTATACAGCTGTGAAAAACAAGGAGATCTTTGTGAAGGATATCTAAAACTTATTCTTTAGAAGCACATACTAAGTGAAGAATAGTGTGGAATAGCACACTTCCTATGCTACCATGACAAAAGGAAGGGAATTTCATACACATGCACACACATATACAGAGTATAGCAAAAGTGTGTTTACATTTGTGAGTATGCAAAAACAGTTTATTCTTGTATTTTTATTTATTTATTATTGTATATTTTCCATACAAACAACTAAACCTACTTTTGCACCGCCCTGTATGTGTGCTTGTATACATATTACAAATGTTCTTCAAAAGATAAATAGGAAGCTAAGCATGACTACCCTTCAGTAGGACAAGATCTGAGAGGATAAAGGGCACAAGTAGGAGCCAAGTTGTTTACTACATGCCTTTTGATTTTTGAATCATGAGAACATATTGTTTATTCAAAAATTTAAATTGGTAATTATTACACATGTTTGCATATATAGATGTGTTTGTGTGTTACTTATAAAAAAAGGTCATCAGGAACTGTATCTGGCGACAACGTGCAGCGTGGAGAAAGGAGAGCGTGGAAGTAGAAGTAGCAGCACACGACGGGGGGGGGGGGGGGTCCAGGTCAAAGACAGAGAACAGACCCACCTGCCGGTGGGGGTGGGGGTGGAAGGTGAGGACGGCCGAGTAAGGGACGGGGTAAAACGACCGACAAGTGGAAGGGGTGAGTGAGGACAAGGGGCGAGGAGTGTGAAGAAAGGTGGCTGGGGGCAAGGTGGCATGACTTGTCATGTCCAAGGAAACCTGGAGGGGAAACATGCTTGGAAGCTAAGAACTTATACGTAGACGTGGACATTTTGACATTGAGATAGAGGTGGGATAATCTCTTTTTTTAAAAATCCTTACCTGAGGATGTTTTCCCATTTATCTTCAGATAGAGTGGGAGAGAAGGGTAGAGAGAGAGAGAGAGAGGAGAGAGAAAGCGAGAAACAATGACATGAGAGAGACACATTGACTGGCCGCCTCCCGCACGACCCTGACCAGGGCTGGGGATGGAACCGCAACCCAGCTCTGGGAGCCGCCACTAACGCTGAGCCAAACTGGCCAGGGTGAGGCGGGATCATCTTAACAGAGGTGTTCAGCAAACCCTGGTCCTTCTGATCTGGAGTTCAGGGGAAAAGCAAGTGTGGAGTTGGTGAGTCTGGGAACCCTAGAACCTGGGTGACAACTGGGGCCAGTCGTGGGTGGACTGGGAGTGGAAGGACGGAACTGCACTGACTGGATACAAAGATGGTGGCAGCCCTGCTTGGCTCAGCAGTGAAAGCATCGGCCTGCAGACAAAAGGGTCTCGGGTTCGATTGCCGGTCATGGGCACATACGTGGGGTATGGGTTCGATTCTCTGGGGTTGTGCAGGAGGCAACCAATCGATGTGTCTCTCTCACATCGATGTTTCTCTCCCTCCCTTCCACTCTATCTGAAAATCAATGGAAAAATATCCTCCAATGAGGATTAACCAAAACAAACAAACAACAACAAAAGACGGTGCTGAAGCCAGATGGCCTGTGGAGCTGACTGACATGGCCTCAGGGAGCCGAAAGAGGAAAGGTTGTGGAAAAGGGAAAACTTAAGTATCAAATAGTTCTGCTACCTTGAGGAAGAGGGAGTGTGAGGCGGTCTGGGTTTGGCCAGTAGGAAGCAGCTGGTAGGTAACCTGCCCACGACTGTCCGAGCAGTTTGTTGGAGACGGCGCGTGGCATCGAGGTCGCAAGGGCAGAGGAGTGAGTGGGGAGAAAATGCACATGGGTGACCAGTCTATTTACCAGAAACAGTTTGAGAAGGAGGGAGATGAGCTAGTGCCTGTAGGCAGGCCTGTGAGCACTGTGGAAGGTGGCAGGGCGCAGAAAGGAGCTGAGCAAGGCAAGAGGGGTGGTTCCAGGGAAGGAGTGAGGGGTCCAATGCATCAGTCCAGAGCCTCTGATGGGAGTCAGGCCATGAATAAAAAGATGAAAAAAGAATGCCAAGAAATTTTCAGGTTTCAAAAACAAGTAAGTATATGAGTTATTTTCTCTCTCTGTTACTTGGCAAAGGTTACCTTCTGACCAGGAAAGGTATGGAGCACTGCCCACAGAACTTTCTGCAGGGGAGAAATGCTGCCATATGTAGCTGCCGGCCACATGCGGCTACTGGGCATCTGGCTCCTGTGACCAAGGGACTGAGTTCGTTTTGTCAATTCATTCAAATTTAAAGAACCACATGTGGCCAGTGCTAGGGTACTGAATAGTGCAGACCTAGGGATCGGAGAGAATGGGAGAGAATGTACTGAGCACGGTGCACAGGGAGACAGCAAGCTAGGAGAGAAAAGGTACCAAGAACACAGATGTCCCTCAGTAAACGCCATCAACCAGGTCAGAAATAGAAATTCATCTCCAGTCACTGAGTGACTGCAGGCAAGACTAGGCAGCTCTTCTGCTATCTGAAAAATAAAAGCTGGAAGCACCCCAACAAGTGTACAGAACAAATGCACTCACAGGAGTCGGAACAGCAACAGGCCAGATGTGCAGCAAACTCAACGTTACCCACTGAAACTGCTGACTGGAAACCAACGGGCCATCATTATCCAGAGATAAGCTTCTGGCTTTATTGTTGAACTCTGTCTACATCTTCACCCTTAAGCTTTTAAAAAAGCATTTCAGCTTAGCTCGTCACACTCTATTACTTGTTGAGTTA